GTCAATGAAAAATGGAAATCAATTATGTTGGAGTATTCGTGAATCTTATTAGCATGGTGGCCGTTATAGAGACATGTAGGAACATCCTTGATAGCTAACACTGTAGTTCCTAAAATATGGGATTTATGTCAATGCAATCTCATTGATCTGAGCTCAAATATGCTTTAACGAGAGACTACTTCAACTTGTAATATACCTCTACTTTGGACAGCACAAGCATGTGCGTCACCTACTACAGCAGGAAACCAGTCATTCAAGCTGTGACCCCCATCTGTTTTACTTGGCAAAACACTTATAGGGTTGTATTTTCTTTTAGTTAAGCGGTCAGAGATGTTCAAGTCAACTTGCATGCACCTTGATTAATTTTCTCTTCGATCTGGTAAAAAACAGGTCATGCACCTTGATTATGAAACTACGATATTCAAAATGGATAAATTCCTCGTAGCCTCATCCCAAGTAGTTGCTAAAATTCAAACTTAAAATATTTAAATTTACAGTTCAACTCTATTACCGCTTGCACTTGAAATATTATTGGGCTTTATTTGCCTCTACTTGTTCATCGTTTTAAACTATTATGATGACTTGGTCACAAATACAAACTAAGATTCCAGTACTCGGCCCATTTCATTTGCCGCTATGGCTATTTATTTGTGGGCAGCTTCTTCTTCACAGTGAGCTGGCCTTCGACTGATTTTAGTCTTAGCAGGCCCGTTCAAAAATTTGGCACATATAATCACATTTTTTATCTGGCCTTTGAATTAGTTGTGTAAAAGATATTAGAAATATTATTTGGACTTAATTGACTAACATAATTTGTTGATGTAATAATTATTCACAATCTTATGAATACTAGTGAATTTTAGTATTCGTTAAAACCCGTTATCAATTCAATGATTATGATAAATAAGGTCAATAAATTATGTCAATAAATTAGATTCTAATAATTTTATTAAAATGATAGATATTTACATTTTATGAGATTAATGAAAATCAAATTCAAATCCCAAAGGACTACAAGTAGATCAATAAATTAAATTTGTTTATCTTCGCAGGTTTGATACAAACCATTCTTTAGAAAAATGTTATTTAGATTTTATTTGAGAACATAATTTGAAGATCTATTTCAATGTAATCATGTCTTGAAAATGGGATACACCTAATATTAAAATTCACAATTAATATAATAATATAATAATTATATTAAATTAAGTCTTTGATTAAGGGTGTGTTTGTTAACCTAAATTCAGCTCTTAAAATGAATGTATTCAGTACTTATTAATTAAGCCTGTTTGATAACAAAAATTTAAATCCTCTTAATATGTTAAGTGTTTCTTAAAAATATGCTACAATATTAAGTAGAAGATCCCTTATTTAATTCTAAAAACTAATTCTAAAAACTAAAAGCGTTCAGCAAAACCATCCTATTAAAACTCTAATTAGTATTATCTCCAAAACCCTTAACCTATATATTCTCTTTGTCTATCTTTTTTTTTTTCTTTCCTTTATCTCCTGTAACAAAAAATATACATACATAATTATAATTACACATAAAAATGCACGCACTGCACACACACAATTATACACAAACATATGCACTGCACACACACACAGCGCACAAAGATATTGTTAATGAAATCTAATTTATTATATTTTTTCAATATTATTTGATTCTTTATTAGTTATTATTATTTTTTTGATCAGATACTATTGTTCACTTATTATGTTATTCAATTTGTTATTGTTTATTTATTGTGTTATTCAGATGTTATTTAGTTATTTATTTTGATCAAATATTTGTTAAATATAGACTATAATATAATAATAGTGATTATGATTTATATTATGACATATTTTATAAATATTATTAAATTAAAGAGTCAAAGGGTAAAATTAAATATTAATTTATTTTCAAACGTTAACTCTGTGTAGTTATCAAACAATTTAGTTTAATTCAGTACCTAAATTTCAGTGAATATCAAACAGTCCACATATTCAGCATTTAGCTTTTAGCTTTATCAAACACTAAGGATGTATTTGTTAACTTAAATTCAACACTTAAAATGAATGTATTTGACACTTATTAATTAAACTCGTTTGATAACTAAAATTTCAACTCTCTTAATATGTTAAGTACTCATTTAAAATAAGATACAATATTAAGTATAAGATTCTTTACGTAATTCTGAAAGTTGAAAAATCAGATTTAATAATATTTATAATATGACAATTATACCGCGAAATATTTTACAATCCTATTAAAACTCAAATTAGTATTATCTCTAAAACTCCTAATCTATCTACCCTCCTTGCCAATTGTCTTCTTCAGATAATAGATGTTCTTTTTGTTTTTTTTATCGCTCGTCTACTGTAAATAATCATGTTGAAACAAACACCCACATTCACTGCACACACACACACACAAAGACATGGGCTGTACACTCACCCACCCACCCACCCACACACACACAAGCACAAATTGCACACACACACACACACACACACACATATATATATATTATTAATGAGATTTAATTTGTTCTATTTTTTTAATTTGATTATTTTTTTATTTATTGTTATCAAATTATTTATTAGTTATTAATTTTTTATATCAAATGTTATTGTTCATTTATTGTGTAATTTAATTTATTCTTGTAAATTTACTGTGATTCGATTATTTATTTGTCGTTGTCATTTTTTTGATCAAACGTTATTATTCAGTTATTGTGTTATTCAATTTATTATTGATTTGATATATTGTTATTTTTTATTAGATAAAACTATATTTTATAAATATTTTTAAATTAAAGAGCTAAAAATTAATTTATTTTTAAACGTCAGTTCTGTATAGTTATCAAACAGTTTGATTTAATTCAGTATTTAAATTTTAGTGGATACTAAACAGTCCACAAATTCAGTATTCAGTTTTTAACTTTCAAATTTCAATTTTCAATTTTCAGACTTTAACTTTTAATTTTATCAAACACCACCTAAATTCTCAAATTAAATTCCTATAGCATTGTTTGTATATATGAAGCACAAAGTAACACTTTTTTTGTTTTTTTGTTCTATAAAAGTTATTGAATTTTGTCAATTATTTGGAGTTAAAATACGAGAAATTAACCTATTTTTAATTGACTCGAGAAAAAATTTAATCATATAAGGCGGACCGAATACTAGGAGTGTTCAAATTTTCGATTGACTGTAATTTTCTACCCTACCTGACTCTACCTTATTGAACGATTAGTCACAAAAATCGGGTAGGAATGCGGAATACTCATTAATTTTCGCATTCCTACCCTACCTTACCCGTAAAAAATATATTTAAATTTTTTATATTTTTTTTAGTAATTATAAGAGTATTTGTATAGTATAATTTATGTTATAACATTATAATTGTTGTAAATGTTTGAGTTGTTAAAATATGAACTTGTTTTTTGTGTAGGTTACATAATTTATGGTGAACTAGTGATCTATTGAAATAATTATAATTTTAATGTATTTTATATAGTTTAAACTTAAAATAATTGTTATTGTATTCGTGTAACAATTATGATAAATTGATGTTCATGCTTTCTTGTGTTTTATTATAATTATTGTTGTAATTGTTTTAGGTTTTAGTGTTATTGATTTATTGTGTTATTAAATTAGTACATGTTATTTAATTAAATTGTTAAAATAATACAAAAATTAATAGCTACAAAAATATTTATCCGACTTCTTACCCGATTAATCGGATAAGAATATCACACCTGATCGGATAGAATAAGATAAAAAATTTTTTTAATAAAATATCAGATAAAAAATTAAAATATTATATTTCTTATCCGTAGGATAGGGTGGACACCCATCCCAAATACCCTCATCGTTAAAAACAGAAAAAGGCGTTGAACCGTGGCCAAGACGTTTAGACTTCTGACACCACTTAGTTCCCCAAAATTGAAGACTCCTTTTGTTTATTTTAAACTTCTAATTAATGCCCAATTAATTCTCAACAACAAAAAAAGAAGAAGAAGTGGTCCAGTCTAATTTCTCTCTCTACAAGCACACTATAAAACGCCACCAACCCTCGGCCAATCCTCACAGTGAGAGAGCGGAGACATATTTCCGGTTTGTGCGTGATTCTAATTTCATTTCATCACAGCCGTCCGTCCACACGAGACAGCTTAATCAGATGGCGTTAGATTCACGCACAAACTCGTGATTTGTCTTCTCTGCAATACTAATAATAGATTGAAGGTCTAATTTCTGGCGCCATTTTCTTTTTTTCTTTTGATTTTTATTTTCCCTCTCTTAATTGCAGCATTGAGACTAGGAAAGGCACGTGATGTGTGGACTATGATATGTGTATTTGGACTAGGAAAAGCACAGACGACGATTCCGTCGCAGCCGGCCACCGCCATCAAGCACCGCCACATCCAGTTATGTCTCCCCCTCTCTTTGTTAGATCTCGTCCCACCACCACCACCACCTTATGCCATCTCTGTCAGATCTCCTCCACCACAACCTCACCCCACCAAATAACTCCAAACCCACCCCCACTGAATAACCCCAACCCATCCCAAAGGCTTTGCAACTCCTCTCTCTCTCTCTCTCTCACACACACACACACACTAGCAGTAACCTTCGAGTTTGTGCTTGTTAAATAGTGTATTGGGTTGCAATTTTTGTTGGGATTTTATTGGTATTGATTGTTAGCTCAAATTTACTCTCAATCCTTTTGGCCTTTTCAAGCCGTGACAATATTTTGTTTGAAATTTTGAGTTTGTACTTGTTCATATGTGTAATGGGTTGTAATTTTTGTTAGGATTTATTGGTCTATTTTGATTGCTTGTGCAAATTGTCCTAACCTTTTTTTTTATTAGCCTTTTCTCTGTAACGACCCTGAAATTGGTTACTGCTAGAAATTTCAGTTGTAGGTGTGATGTGCTATTGACCTGAACCAACTGTTGCTATTGTAGAAATTTTCATAACTTGGCTGCTGTTGAAAATAAATTTTGTAGTTAATAGTGTGCCAACTCTAGAACAAATTATTGGCTCTACCCCTGAGGGGAGGTTTCTCGGCGATGGATGACTACGAGTCATTGATTGCGACCACCGATGCTGAGCTCTTGAAGCGTGCATGGCGGAATGAGAAGGCTGCTCCTGAGATTCTTCAGTTTGAGACTGAGTTGGTTCAGAGATCCCGAGAACAGATTCAATTGGTGGTATGAATCAAATCAAAACCCTAATTTCTCTTTCTGTCGCTAGCATTTCATTTATTTGGTATTATTACATCTTTTAATTTGTTTTAAGCTTTTGGAATTTTCATGTTTGTTGGCATATGTTTCTGGAATTATTTAGCTTTTAAGCTTTAGATATATCCTCCTTAGGTGTAGATAAGGCATGTGGCTGTGTAAAATTTTCTATTTGATTTTGTATTTTTAATTTTGTTGAACTCGTATATATAAATTGTAGGTGACTTGGTTAAAAATAATAATTTATTGCGTTTTCCAGTAATTTGCAAAGCAGGTATTGGAACTCTTCTGGTCATTACCTTTGTGGGTACATCTCTGGTACATATATTGTTTGACTTCAACAACCGAAATTATGATGGTAGAAATGAGTCATATCCTGGATGGCTACAATGATGTAGAGATGTGTGTAGTGCCGTTAGTGTTCTTGTAGGTGGAGTAATTGATCATGACTGTTGTGGTGGTTGGGGTAGCCACCGCCAATATTTTAGTTAAAGATGGATTCCACAAGGGGAAGTATGATGAGGTGTTAAGATGGGTCTGAATATTTATCCCTCATTCAGTCATTTTGTCTCAACCTGGTTATGCACGCTCCAGTCTTTGTCTCTAATTTTGTCTTGGACCTGGTTACATATATTCCAACTTTGGCGTCTGATTGCATATGTTCATGTTGTGTGGCATTCAGTCGTGATGCCTAGTAAGCTTGGCATGTTTGACATTTAACATTTCATACATTTAAACTAATCTTACTTTTATCAATTCCAAACTACTCTGAATTGGGACTGTTCTGTGATATCCCCTTGACATTTTAGTTGTAATGCAATACTATCTTTTGTTAGTATTAGTTCTATAAGAGACCATTAGCATTCAACAAAAGATCACCCAGTGTTCACTGGACAAATATAAGTCAAGGCACTTCATTCAAATTCAAAAGTCAAAAACAAGGGAGGTTTTTAATTTTTGGACAACCTGTGCCTCTGTTCCAATATTCTCTTCTTCCGTTTTTTCAACTTCTTCAATTTCTTTTATTTCCATTATTTTCTTCATGAACTTCTTGTTAACTTTTTGTTACCTTTTTAATTTCTGCATTCACTTCTTCAACTTTGGTTTCCGCAAGTTGTTGAACTTGATTGAGACAACAATGTTCTCCATCATACATTGATGTATCTTTAAAGCTACACTCTTCGTTTATAAACTCAATCTTTTTTCAAGAAGACACATTCATGTTTGGAAACAATACATTTGCAAAAATGCATTTGAGTTGTCCTCTTAGATAATAGTATGTACATCAGATTGGTATGGTGTGTGCTCAGGTTTCTACTTCACTTTGAATCATGCTAGGAAGAAACGGTGGAGGAGTTCACGAGAAATGGTATTGATCCACTCACTGTATCACTTTACCAGATGGACTTGGACAGGATACTGTTTTTATTGAGATCATATCTTCGGACTCGTCTCCAGAAGGTAGCCATGAACTAAACTCTTTCTGTGTGTTTTAGGGTGTGGCTTGAATGTCCCATGCAAATTGAGCAATTCGGTTTTGCTTCAACAAACCTTTTGAAATTGCTCATATAAACTAACGTTCTAACGGGAATATAAAATAAAAGAAGCTGCTGAACCTGGTCTATTAGGTTTTAATGTGTTGTTAAATGGTGTTGTAATTAAATTATTGGACTGCAGATAGAGAAATACATGTTTCACATCCAAAAAGCTACTGAACTCTGGAATCGGCTATCTAAGCAAGAACAAAATTTTGCCAAAAGGTAAAGACTGCCATTTTTCTTTTTCTTTTTTGCATTCCTTGTCATTCTCGAGTGGAAATTTATCTCATACTTGCGGTTGGCTATGATTACAGGTCCATTGAAGATATTGAGCAACATTTTGAACAATCTGTTCTGTCAAAATTGCCTGATCGTTACAAGTCCCATCTGAAGCAATCTGTAACAAGTGAAGAGGATGACATGGGTAAGCTTACTTTACTTGAACCGATACTAATCTCTTTGTAAAAATATAAATTGTGTTGACCCAATATTTGCTTAAGCAGCTGTCAGTTTTCAAAGTATAAAATGTTGGCTTGAAATTTTGTTCTTAGTTAATATGCTCTTTCTGATGGTTGGCACCATATGGTGATACTGAAACATTGCTTTCTTTTTCTATATGACTTCAAGTTCCAGAGCCACTGCTGGACACCTATGTCATCTGCAGAAGCAAGAGATTCTTAGGAGCTTTCCAGCTTGACGAAAGGCAACTTTTTTATTCATAGATGACCTCTCTTGTTTTTTTTATGCCACATATATAGTATTATGTCATCCATCTGTTTGCTAACCAGTGGAATTTCTCATGACAGAGGGGTGGACGACCCTGTGGACATTAAAGCTGATGATATATATGCTCTACGTTACAAGTCAATAAAGCCACTTGTCGAAAGTGGACAAATGGATCTTGTTTGAGCATTTAACTTCTGGCAGCCGACTGGACTACAATTTCATGATCCGCCCAAAAAAATAAATAAAAAAAATTCATAAGGGTCCAGTGCCGGCACCGGTGATAAGACCTGCTTTTGCTGAAGGTAAGATTTGCTCTATTTGCATTTCTTTAAGCATTATGTATTTAACAGTTTTCCATGAACCTCTTTCGTTGGACATGTTCTGGGATTTTTCTATGTAATTTCATCAACAATTCATCTCAACAAGAGAAATCCACATGCTGGTTCATTTCATGATACTCGGGCCAGTGTCTAGTAGATACCTCAACGTCATAATTTTTTCCCTCTTTCAACACTCGAATTTAAATTCAGATACAAGTAGTTGTAAAAATTCCTAACTTATCAGGAGTCTGAAGTACATTGAATAAACGAAAATATATAAATCAATTGGATTCTCTGGATATGGAAAATGCTAACAGGATGTAAGCATTCTTATTTTACACAATCTTTTATCTAAAATTGCTCAAAAAACCTGCTGGTACAAGCAAAAGTACCAAAATCAACATCCTCCCAAACCAATTCCTATGATGCAATTGTTCTCAAAACACAACTACTTTTATCGTCAATATCAAACAGCCAAAATCTTCATAAGGCCCTCATAGGTGACACCGCCATTTTCATCACCACCACCCAATCTGATCATAGCCTTGATATCATCATCACTTGTCTCAAAGCCAGCCCAATTAAGGTAACTCTTGAGGTCATCATGGCCGACCTTACCATCCCCATCTTTGTCCATCACCCTAAATACATCTTCCATAACTCCCCACCTTCCATTCCTCTCCTCACCATTTTTCTTGCTATCCAAAACCTTCTCGAACTCGTGGTACTCCACGTACCCGTCTTTGTTCGAATCAGCCAACCATATCATGGACCCAATAACGTCGTCGTCTGATGCTCTGGCTCTGGGAAACTCGCCGTAGAACGTCCGAAGATCTTCCTGGCTAATCTTTCCGTCATGGTCAACGTCTAGAACCTCAAACGCAGACTTTAAACTGGACTTTTTGGTGGTTTCTGGGTGTAAGGCAGTCCCTGTAGGACACATTCTGTTCCACGAAAAACTGCGAAAAGGTATGACTTATATGAGGTGTTTTATGTTGAAGATGAAGCTAAGCTTGCAATGGAGGAGGCTTAGAGAAAATGGAAACAAGAGACGGAGAAAATAGGAGCCATAGGGTGTGTATTTGTAGCTGGACTTGTTGGGTTTGTTTTGGGGTCCACCAGTTGTTTGTGAAATGGCTTCGTCGACGCGGAATGATAGTATTCAGGAACGATTTGGTCACATGTTGATGTTGTAATATAATATTTGCGTAAGGCATGACATCATTGGTCTAAGCGGTTGGCCAAGGGTGAAAGTTCTGTGAATGTTCTGGTGGGTGAGCCATAAGTCATACAGAAACAGACAATAAGACTGGTTGGTTTGCGATTTTTTGACTTGGGGAAGTCACATGATTAGTCTCGAGATCTGATGTTTAACCCCCGCGCCTTCTATATCCATCTAGTAATTAAATCTATCTTTTGTTATATACACCTCTTTTAATAAATAAATTTATTTTATATTTTGTTATAATTAGGGTTTCATTCTCTATCTCCTCTTATTTTAGTGAGATACATGTTAGTATTATTTCTCTATTTAATTTTATGTTTGTTATATGAATTTTTATTGTTTTGATATCTTTGTTAAGTTTAATTAATAATTTTTTATTTAGAATTTATATGTGTGTGTGTATATACATATAATTTTAGATTACTTGTTCTTTTTTATCTTGTTAAAGTTTTGCATCTATACTTAATACTTGTTATTTTTTTTCTTGTTTGATTTTATGTCTGTGCTTGATGTTTATTTTTATTTCTTTCATATTCGGTTTTGCGTTTTGTAATTTTGCTTGGTTTTTTTTTTTTCTTATTTTGATTTGCTTCTTTCTTCTTGTTTTTTTCCTTCTTTTGTTCTTTTTTTCTTGTTTCAGTTTGTTTTATGTGTTTTTGTTTGTTTCGTTCTTTTTTGTTATCTTGTTTTAGCATACTTGATTTTTTTTATTTGTTTCCTTTTTGATTCTTTTGTTTTTCTTGTTTTGTAAATATATTTATGCATTCAAATTAATTATTTTTTTCTTACAATGACTTTTTTCATTAAAGGAGTGTACATAGAATGAGTGAGTTTAACTATTAATGGCATATATATATAGTATGAGGTGGACTTAGTTACCAATGAAGTGGGTATAGAAGGGATGAACTTAATATTTTGAAAATAAAAAATTAAATGGGGTGAGAATAGCTCCACCCTAACGAGTTTAACTTTTCAAAATGATATTCATTACTCAAAAAATATAAGGGACTCCAAAAAAGGAATGGATCTTGAAATTTAATAAATTTTAGGATTAACTACAAAATATTTCCTTCAACTCTAGGGGGTTTGCAGCTCACTTTTTCAAGTTTTAATTTCAACAAATATCTCTTTTAAATTTTAATATGTTGCAATTAATTTTAATAATTATTTTTAGGCAATAAAAATTGACAAAAAATAGTCAAGTCAAATCAATGCAGTCCCTATTTTATTAAAAAAAATAATTATCCTTACAATTATTTTTCTCCATTACTAATTATCCATGCTAAATATCTACACTTCCCTCTCTACTCTAGCACCTTTCCTTCCTCTCATTGCTTAGGATGGTTAATTCTCATTCTTTTTTCTCTTCGTGTGGAAACCCTCATTTCCCTATAATAATGCGAGGTGAAGGTTTTTTAATTTTTTAGTTTTGGTTTGTTTGTTTGTTTATTTTTTAGGAGCAAAATTAGTATCTCAAGAAAAAAATTTTGGTTTTTTTTCAGGTGTTTAGTCACTATTGTTAGTCAATTTAATTTACTTGAAACTTGAAAGGGACAAATTATAGTATTTGATGATAGCTGAAGGGGACGGATTATAATTAACCCTAAATTTTATTTAAAAGATAGTATAAATAAAAAAAAAATGGAAACACGGTGTTTTCGGGACTGAATTGTTATCGTTATAACTATCTGTTTTTTTGTGGTTTAGTAAATGTTGCATAAGCTTAAAAAGCATGCAATCATTTAAAAATTATGTGCATTATTAGGTAAATAAAATTTTTTGGGGTAACATTTGAAGTTAAGATCTTGATGTATGTAAAATGTTATCATCCGAGTTTTATTGTAAGACTTGGCAAAAGTATAAGAGGAATATGCAAATATTAAATGCAACAGTAATATTATTATGTGATATAATACAATTACTACTCACAAGCAAGAAAATGGGGTTTATCTTGTCCACTTGAATTTTTTTTGTTATTAGATGATAATATGTTATAACGTTGATGTCATATTACCGTTAACGTCAAATATTTACTCACCATTAAGCCCATACAAGAGTCTTGTCTAACAAATGACTCACTGCGGCCCAGTCCACAAAACAATTCCCTTTGTAAACCAGGCTGGTCATATCTAGGCCCATAAAGGTAATTCAATCCAGTCCTATCTAAATCTAACCCACAGTCCCACCTCAAAACCCTAATTCCAAAATTAGCAGTATATAAAATCCCCATCCCCATCCCCATCCCCATGTAGTCTCTCTTGTCCGCCTTCTTTTTGGATGAATTCCTCTCTCACGGTCTCGTGTGTGTGTTTTATTTGATTTTTGATTGAATAATTGCGTCGTCTTGATGGTATCTCTAGTCCGCCTAATCTCATGATGAATTCCTCTAGGTAACTCTCTCTTTTTCTCTATATATATATGTGTGTGTGCGCGTGCGCTTTTTGATCGAGTAATTGCCTCTTGATGGAAACCTTCCTTGAAGGAACATCGAGGACGGGATTTCCATTGTTATACATACGTTTGTTTACAACGTTGTGTATAAGGAAGGGGCAGATATATATAGCAGGAGAGTTGAGTCGCTTCGCCTTTGTATTTATCCCCTCCGGGTGCAGTGAATAAGATCTTGCTATATCCTTCAGTTTTCTTTCTACCCAATGGTTTTTGTTATAACTGTATAGACAAAATGGTATTTCACTTTGTATGTGAATGGGGAGTCCTATGATGGCATGAAATCTTTGAGACCTGATTGTCTTATTGTGATGACAATTACAAGCGTTTTCTACTGAGGACTAATTTGATAAATAATTTGCTTTGTAGAAATTTTAATATTTTTTAGTTGATTTTCTTGGTTTGTTTTTGTTATTTTTTTCCCATTCAAATTCTGTATTTGATTTGGTTGGAAATGATTTGGAGTGGAAGATGGAGGAGATGATGATCGCACTGGGCTCTGAGCAATTAAGATATTGCTTCATTTGATGGACAATGCCAGCCTAGAAAGCTGTTTCTGATCTCTTTTTTTATTATTATTATTTTTTTTGTTTTCACAATATTTCTTTCATTTTCCATAACTTTTTCTATCAAACTGTGTCTAGTGTTTGTTGTTAGGTTTTATGTGTTGTTTGGTATTAATAGGAAGGGAGGGAGGTCTGTGTTCGCCTGGAAGAAGAAGAAGAAGAACTAAGGACTTGCTACTTTTACCTTTCTTGGGAGTTTTATTGTGGGAGAGAGAGAGGGGTCCGGCTCTTTGCTGTTAAGCGGAGGGAGGTGTGTTGTTGAGGATCTGTCGGATAGAGAAATCTTGCGGATTATCCCCTTTATTTGACCTAAATTTGGACGAAAATTAATTGCGTTGGGGACTAATTACAGTCAAATAAGGGTTAACATCAGTTATTCTGTGTGATAATGTCGAAGTGACAAATATTTGGGCATTTTCTCTATTTAGGTATAAACATCATTAACACCCCTCTGTCCCTGTTAAGTCACCGTGTTTAACAAAAATAATATTCATATTAAAATTTAAATATATTAATTCTTTATTTATTAAAATTGGAGTTAATTCGAGCTCAATTTTAAGGTGTTTGTAATGATTAAAATTTGATTTGATTAATATTTATATTTTTTTGCGTATTAAAATTGAGTTGATTAAAATTTTATTTAAGTTGATTAAAAAATTATTTTTTTTATGTATTATAATTTGAGTTAATCAAAATTCAGGTTGGCTAAAATTCAATTTGAGTGAATTGAAATTTGGTTTGAGCCAATTAAAAATGGTTTGAATTTTTTTTAATTAGTTATTTTTTTTAATTGGCTCAACTTTAATACATAAAAAAATATAATTTTTAATCAACTTAAATTTTAATACAAAAAAATAAATTTTAATTAGTTTAAATTGAATTTTAATTTGTCTTAATTTTAATTTATAAAAAGTTTAAAAAACAGAGAGAATTTTAATCTATCTTAATTTAAATTGAATATTAATTTGTCTTAATTTTAATTCATAAAAAATTTAAAAAACAGAGAATTTTATTGTAGATATGCTTATATAGAGTGGAGTGTGGATGAATTTTTTTTAAAAAATATATCATAGATAATTTAAAAATTACATTCTAGTTATGCTACACTGTTCTAGTTAATGCCATTAATTTAGCAGGGAGTAATGTTTTAAATAATATAAAAAGTCTTATTGAAAATAAGTCTATATTTAGAGGAAGTGTCAATGATAATTACTTAAAATATTTAGCACTAGACATATGGTGTGTTCAATAACACCATTTAAAGATTAAACTTGAATATTTTAAGTATGTAATGAATTAATTTCGTTTGATAACCAAAAATTTGTAAAATTTTTAAAAATAGATTAAAATTTTAAGTAGCAAATGATCTATTTATTATTTAATATTGAAAATGTTAGTTAATAAAGATTTCATTAATTTCTCATAATAGACAAATATATCATCAATGTATTTTATATTCTTAATTTTTCAATACTTCTTATTTACCACCACCATCACTATCACCATCGTCGCTATAACTGTGTTGTCGTCAATCACTATCATTATGTCACTGTTGTCGTCACTATCACCACTGTTGTATCATTGTCGCCACAATATTATCACTATTATTATCGCCACTGTCATTGTGTCACCTCTGTTGCCTTTGCCCCCACAATTGTATTATCGCTATCACCACCATTGTCATTATTATCACCATTATTACCATCACTACCACCATTAACACCATCATTGATAGTGATGGTATGAATAAGATAGTTAAAAGAGATAAAATTAGAATAATAATAATTTTTAAACTTCAATTTTTTATATTTGTTAAATAATGTAATTCAATTCAATATTTAAATTTTAATTAATACTAAACAATCTATAAATTAAAAAATTTAATCAAACATTACCATACTTCACTAAAAGTCTATGAATTATTAATTTTTTTTTAATTAAAATTTTATCGTTAAATCATCTATAGACTAACTAGACCTGCAACATATTAACAGTGAAAATTGATTAATAATTGAGAGACTACATTAAGACAATCAAAAAGTTGAACGATCAAATTAAAACTAAATACAATGTTTAAGACTCAGGTATAATATTTACCCAAAAAAAATAATAATAATAACTAATGCACAATACTTTTTTTAACTTTTAATCTGCTATACAAAACTTGAACGGATAAAACCTTGTCATCAATTTTTTTCTTTGGTGTAAATACCTTGTTATAATTATGTGTTTGACTTTATTATATTGAGCTATAAACCATTTTTCTCTCCTTACAACAAATGAAATGTTAAGGGCTGATTTTGTAAACAATATTATATATCTACCTCTGAGAAACCCACATCAATATTTTCTTTTCCCAAAATTATACCTTTCTATTCTACAAAATAGTGATCGGCATCGATAATTCGATGCCATTTCTTGATAGTGATTAATCAAATTAGCGCACAGGAGATGAAAAGAAAATTACAACAAAATATACGAAGAATCCAGCCAGGAGTATTCCGGCATAAATGATATTCTGAGAAGACTGTACCAGAAATTTGTATTCAATACTGCAGCATCTCATCTTGTCCTTCTCATTGTCCAAAACATAATCCACGTACCTGGATTAAAAGTGTGCACATAATACAATAAGCTTTTTCAACCAGGAAACAAACAGCATCGAAAATACAGTGAAGTAACTTACTGCTGTGTATACATGGAGCTCTGAAAAATCTCTGAACTGTTATAGTGTGCTTCTTGTAACCGATGATCATATAACAGGGAAGAGAGATCAACTAGCTGTTCCTCAAGACTCTGTCATTCATATCATTAAAAGAAAACTATGTTAAGCATGGGGATGTTTCGACATAACAATGGAGATATTCAGCTTATGACCGACTTACATCTAAGTACTTCTCTAGTCTTTCGACTAATTCATGTGGAAAAGGTTCGGGCAAGTTGGTAGTTTTTTTGTAGAACTTTTCCAGCCAGAGCTCGGTGTTGGATTTGTTCTTTTTACCCTTTACTGGTTCACCAAGAGGGGTTTTCAGATGTTCACCAGCAAAAGCTTGGACAGCCTGTAACAAAGACAACACTTGATAAGCATCCAAATACAAACAACAATGATGGCCAAATGAATATCAAATCACCTCTGACGTCTCTCGAATTCGGCCGAGGGCAGAATCAACACGTGCATATATTGTATTTCTCTGTGAATACAAGTAAACAATGAGAACCTACTCTAAATTATACACATTGTTTTTGAAGTTTTTTCTGTGATTCAGCGAGCCTTATTAAGTTCTAATAAAAATTTATTTGTTCATGCAGAAATAGGAGCAAATACAATCTGCCTTACCAAAGCAACATCCTTAAGCATTTGACTAATTTGGGACGTATTAGAGAATGGCCCAAATGGATGACAACCGGCGGCCCAAAGCCAATTTACAACTGGCCTTTCATGCACATGGGAAGCCTTTTCATATGGTGCACTCAATCCACCCACCACAGAAGCCAGCCCAGCCAATATATGGCGTTGTGCTTGTGACGGAATAGCATGCCTTCTATGTATTTCTGAAACATAACTGTCCAAGGAAAACATAGAAACATACTTAAGAACCACAGATTTGAACTATTCATATCGAACTCATGGCCTAGAACCCCGATCTTACTTTTGAGGCAACCGGATGCACACTAGCTAGAATAGAACAATCAATCTCAAATCATTACAGTCACAAAGTAGGAGTCCAGTAAAATCATTACTAAGTTAGGATTACCACAACAACATAGTCCGAAATTGACTAAATACAATGCACTATAGCACCAAAAAAAGGAAAAAAGAATATCATATCCATGATAAGCAACCCCACCCCCCCCCCCCCCCAAAAAAAAAAAAAAAAAAAAACCCCTCTTTTCTCAAAAAACAGAAAACAAAAATTGGCCGATCAAATAGATTAAACATTCAAAATGATCTTGCTAAAATTAGAGATGATAAGATGGAACGGAGGAAAAACAAGATTGAAGAATGAATGCTTTACCACCAATCAATTAGACAAGAAGAGATTCAGTTATATGTTCTTTGGCGTGAAAACACGGGTAATTGTAATAAAGAACAATGCTGGTTTTGTGGAAGGTGTTGCAAATAGGAGAAAGAACAAAAAAATGAGAATTGTGGGTAATTGGACGGACAATGGAAAAAACGGTGGCAGATTAAAGATGGAACTGTAAAAACTGCAAAAGGGGCTGCCACAACCAGAAGTCAGAGACAAGGCTTCACAAAATGGTCAAGAAATAGTGATTAACAAAGGATTCCAAGGTCCAAGGTAAACATTACACAGCAGTGAGCAGCAGTAAATAATTTCATGTCGACCTACCTCAAAGGTATCCTTTCACTTTGATGTTGAAGTACAATGACAACATCATTACTTGTCCACACAAGACTATCATCTTCCATCATGAGGTGTTCATCGACATCAGCCAATGATAGAACAAAGCTGCAAAAAGGCACCAAGTGCACAACATGAGTCATACTGTTAGCTCGATCAGGTAATATTAACCAAAAACTGAACTCATAAACCATACAAATTATAAAAAAACAATTCCTTAAATTGACAGACAAGGTACAGCAGCTTTACTTTTTACATAGCACCATTGTTTACAGAAGACTTTAGTTCTTAATAATTGATCTTAATTATGGCAATGCAATTGTCCACAGTTACAATTGGGCTTGCTCTGCAGCAGGAGCGGCACAGCTAACTATATCTAAGGCTTCCAATCTTGGTATCAATATGCTTAGAATAAATTAAGGTGACAAATATCAATGTTTATGATCCCTGCCGAACAATGTACACTCACGCAAAATACAAAGAGAAATAAATGAAGGGAAACAATGATGTTGCCAAAGCACTAGCAATGTCAGGTAACTATTTAAACAATGCCACTGTCCACACTAGTCAATCTTCAAAGTCTAACTAGCAAACAGGATTCAGAAACCTCATGGGGATTCTCATTGAAACAGCACTCAGTTATATCCAGTATTGAAAATAAAATTCCTTGGAATTGGACTAACACCCAAGGGGTTATAATTTAAGCCATGCCATGTCTGTAGAGCAATCCATACACTAAAGTAACAGTGTAAATGCATGACAGAATCCATAGTGTTTGTAAAATACCTTTATAGATATAAAGGGTTCATGGAACATCACAATATGCACAGGGACTTCATAGTTTATAGTTGATATTCTGATCATCAACATCGTTTAGAAGATTTGAACTTGTTAGTTGGTTAGCATGTGTCAATCTAAAGCCCGTTCTTTTTTTCCATTACCACAGCTATTAAGGGCATGAAAGCATCCTAGGGCTTCTAGACATAAGCCTTGAGTACATATCCATCCAGAACGATTATTTGCCAACAGATCTATGGTACACACATGGAAGGAATTAGAAAATCATGATTGTTGTTATGAGAAGAAAATATTATCTGTTCATAATAGCATATGTGTCGCCATGTTTATTGGTGGAGAGCTGCTGAGAAACTTGTCAGATGGTATTCAAGTATCAAAAGATTTGACTTGTCCATAACTATCAGCAAAACAGGGTGGCGTGCTTACACAGGAATCAATCTGGTTCCATAAGTCCGGTACAAATCCCCTTGTTTCTTCCTTTCTACTCTCTTTTTCTTCTGCTTGCCATGCTTAGTGCCATAACTAGCCCAAAGAGGTTTGTGCTTTAGTATGGAATCATTTGAATCTTCAGTATCATCTGTCCAGTGCTGGATAATACAATAAATTTAGAAATATATACCAAACAGGCAAAAATACGCATGTGCATGAGCACAAACAAAATGCAACCAAATTCCAGAGCAAAATTTTGGGAACACACAAAGGCCAAGTCAAGTATTTTCCATCAAACCTCACAATAATATGTGTAAAATGTAGCTGATTTAGACTAACTTCGTCAGACCTCTAGCAAAAACATGTAAAATGTAGCTGATTTAGACCAACCTGGCGGAGGAAGAATTTACTTGAAAGAGATGGGTCAGACACCTCAAGTAAACCTGCGGCAAGCACATCAGCAGACCGTTCCATCTCCTGAAATGAGCATTTTAAAGATAAAGTATTGCAGTATAAGCATTAACTTCTCTACCAATGAGTCAAGTGTAAAGGACAACAAAAAGTGTGGATATAAGTGATGGGTGGTAAAACTTACTAACCAAAGTGAACTGCAAGTGTCACTTATAATGGAGAAAAGGAAATCTCAGCCAATTCGAAATACAAGAAATTTATTGGGGCAATTCAAACATTACATGATACACAAGTGCATTATTAAAACTCCATTGCAAGGCAATTCAACAAAAGAAAACAACAACATAGAGAATCCACCTCCTTCAAAATAGCGCCATCCAGATATGTCTTTGTATGAACATGGAAACGCCCATCCTTCTTTGTTTCTTGAAGGGAATGACCCCGCATTGCTTTTGAAACGGCAATAGCCAACTTCTCGTGGCGATGTAAAGCATGTGAACCCCCAACAATAACTACTTCCTGTCCATGGTGAACCATCTTCTTAACCTGAAAAGGACAACACGATACACAACAGAAGTCATAAACCATGTCACTGTCACATAACACCATCGACATTTACTATATTTTCAACTATAATGTGCCAACTCCAAAAAACCTAAGCTCTAGATTGCAAAGGCTTATCAATATAACCCTCTGATTCCTAAATTATGTTACTTTTGCTATGACAGGGATCCATTGCAACACTATTCGGAATCCTATGATCAACTTCTCAGGAATGAATGGAGAGCCAAAGCATCTTAATAGCTAACAAATATGAGATCATTCATCCATCCAATAATTCAGAGGTAAAAGGTAGTAGTGCAGCAGAAAGAAAAGAGAATACATGAGGTCTTCAATACCAACATTCCACTTTCAATTTAACAGGGTAAGGAAAGAAATGTAAATTTGAGATGATCTAGTTAGATGAAAAAAACTTAGAAGAAATGCTGAATTTTGGCTTTGTATCACATCTTCTTTACTGTAAATGACAATATAAAAATTCATCTCATCTTTACAATATGCAGATTGACGCATTTATTTTCACTCAGCACAACTCTAAATTTCATAGAACCATAGAAGTACGTATTATGCATTCTGAAACACTCATAGAAATGGAAGTTGGGATCAGCAAGCCCCAAGTAGTTCAGATTTAAAGGCCTGTGGCAGTGCATATGTAGGTTGCAAATTCCAGCATCCAGATTTTAAGAACTAGATTACAAATGGATAGCTTATTTGTTGTTAGTAGTACTTCCAACTCAAAATCATTGGTTAATGTACACTACTGAATATCTGAGGAAGATAAGAAAAGGAACTCAGTCAGATGGCTTCCCTACATATGTAAACATGGATCTGAAAATCCAAATTAGTTCAATCAATCCCCAAGAAAACTATATATGCATATGTTCTCTATCTCCTGTTACCGAATAATTTTCCCTTCATTGAGTCAATTCCATTGCACTTGAACTTTGCTTTAATACTTTAGTGCTTTTGTAACAAAGCTGCACAGGTGGAAACATATCAATAAAGCCTTGTATTATCATTATTCTTTAATTGTAGATGTCACAGCCTCACATTCTGATAGTAAAAACTTTGCTTATTTTGCATCATCAACTACTTGCTGTTCTGTAGTGTCCTTGTCAGCACTAGAGCAACTCATAAAAAAAATTAACCACCTTTTCCCAGTTTGTTAACTCAGTTAATCACAATGGTCTCATCCAGTATTTGCATCCCAGGTTATGCACCCATTGGCTATACATATAAATATATATAAGAGTACTTGAAGAAAAGGAGAGTTAATACTTCAGAACACAAAAGGGTCTATCCATCTTTAGAAACTGGTGGTATAATTTATGGCATTCATCTAGTATCTCAGGAACATGGGTTAATCATTACACAGTAGTCTTGGCCTAATAGACAGTGATCAGTTTTCCACCAATGAGTGGCATCATAACATCACTCCATGTTACAAATCTCAACAATAGCTTCCCAAAGGCAGCAATATAATAGTGGAGGTAGTTATCATCTAGGTCACCACTGACTGAAATCCCCATAACAAAACAAGCATATCCCAGATCATCCTGAGTCACAGGTAAGCAAACACAAAGGAATATACACATTATTCCATAGGAAAGTCTCACCTCAGCCTCGATAGCTTCTATATTTATGCTGTAATTGTGGCCTTTCTCCATGATATTGTATCGATTATGATTTTGGAGAACAATGATTGGTATAAGCAACCTTGCTGTCATATCAATGGTTTCAAACCTGGTCCAGAGAAAATAAACACATTGTCAAATTCTGTCGAGGTGCAACCATCCATCTACAACCAAAAAATTTTTTGGGTATGTACCCAAAATAAAGAAAGAGGAAACCATAAAAAACAGATAGATAGGTCACACGGAAAAGTGATACAACATATAAGTAACTCCTCTGAATCTGAAACCATATAATTCATCACAAATTAAAATGACAAAAAAAAAATTACCGGACAACCTAGCATAAAGTAGAAAGATTTTTCTAAGTGTTACACGGAAGAATATAATAAAAATTCAATAATGCTTCCTGGATAGCCAGGAAATTTTCATTGATCATTGCTTCAACATGAATGAGGTGCTCACTTGGCCATGTTTTTTTTTTTTTGATCAGAACTTGGCCATGTTCGTGTGCTCTAATTCACATTGAACACTACTTATATTCACACATTATCGAAGAGATACTAGAATATATGAATATCTAGTCCCTGTTCACGAGTCATTGGATTTAAGGATTACATGAATCCAGCTTACACAATTACCCACAACTAACATAGGTGCCCGACTATGTGATACATAGTAAATGACAGAGCTATAGGACGTGGATGAACGCAGGGGGAGGGGTGGGGAAGGTGCCCACGAGTGGTTTATAGAAGATACAAGTAAAGTTCACAACTACAGGATCAAATTTCCAACCACAGCCTAACCGGAAATGGATATTAAGCAAAGGGTATCATAACATTTATCTCAATTACAGTGTAAAAGGTAGCACTAAATACCTAACATCTGGAGCCATAACATGCTCAATTGTGGTCGCAACCAAAGCAGCAAGCTGTCCAACAAAAATATTATGGGCAGAATGATCACTAGCTGCACCTATACCTCGTGAAAACATCACATTCCGTAACCGGGGAAGCGTTCTAGAACTGATGCTTCCTTCTTCAGTTTCAATCTTTCCATATGTACAAGGGCCTGCTGAGAGGTCGACCACAACAAACCTGAAATCGAGACATGAAAAGAAGCAAAGGGTAAATTCAACTTATATAGAAACCAACTGATAATGCAGTACTAACCAGACGTTAAAGCATGATCATGAGGATTCGGATATTGAGCATTATGATATGATTGCAGATAGTAAAAAAAAGAAGAAGATATGATAACAGTCAGACAATAGAATATGTAGAGAACTACAGGGACTGAAGCACTACTATCACTTATGGTTTTCCATAAGACAATGTGCAAAAAAGTGATCGACTCCAGCAGTAATGGTGAACACATGCACAAAGGTTCTTTAACACGATTGATCTAAAAAGTTTCGTATCACCAAACTGCCAAATGTTTCAGAATGTTTGCAATATAAAACCAAAAACATAAAGATACACAGTAAAAGAAAATTTCCTTAACACAAAAAGAAACTAAAATCACAGTACAAATAAATATCAAGCCCACATCTTTCACACGTGAGCATATGAAATTTACCGGCCCGAGCCAAGCCAAACTTGAGATGCTCCCCCTCCATTGTAACGATAATGATAAACGTAATCTCCCTCTTGTTTTTTCACCTCTTCCTCAGTTAACTGAGAAATACTGCCATACATTAAACTGTCGAGATCAATATCCTTATTCCTAGGATCAACTCTCACCTGTAAGAAAAAGCCAGCCCAGGGGGAAAAGCCACACGTCTAACAAAATTAGAAGAATGACAAACAGGGAAACTACAAACTTAATGACTAGTTTATGGGAAAAACACAGTGGTTTAATATCCATATAAAGTATTGAAAAGTTATCTTAACACAATTAACATTCATAACCCGAAATCACAGCTGAGAACAATCAAGGTTGGCAGATCTTACCTTATCAAAATTAACAATAAATATGGCAGTTGGCATAGGTCTGTCCATCTCTTCTGCAGAATATCCCTCATTCTCTATGGCAAATAAGTAAGAATATAGCTTCTGAAATTCTGGCTCCACGGCAGCTGCCTCCACCTCAAACAAAGGCACTTCCCTTCCAAAATCAGCCTATAACGTTAACATAATTTAGGATTTTATCTGAAACATTACAAGGGGTGGTCAAACCAAGAGTTTACAAGTAGAATAAACAATTTCATTCACCTCTCTGGCAGTGCCTGCAGGAACCATAGCCACTTTCAGTGCTTTCTCAAGTGCTATCAGTTCAGGCTGCCCAGCCTATAGAAGGATATGAGAACAAATATATGATACGAGGATAAAAGTTGAAGCAGCAAAAGATACTCATCAAGGGAAAATAAACAGCAGCAAGAGATAAAATAACACTCCTGTTTGACCTCCATTTTATAAAAGTCAACTTTTACGCAATAATCTCCAATCATTTTTCTGCAACACTGTTATTAGATTATTTCAATCTTATATTATTAGTCTTATAAACTATATAGCATATATTATGCAAAAACAATAAGCTACATTTAGTTCAAGCAGCAAAAGATCTGGGATGACTCCAGAAATTGAGAATTTAGTTGAAATGAAGGACATAGGCCTTGACCCCATTGACTTCAAAAATTCCAAAATGCTTCTCAAACTCCACCCCATCTTCCCATTCTCATCAACCAAATCAAACAAGAACTCTTCAACACCAACACCAGGCCTCTTTAGCATTCCAACATTGTACAAAGCGCATCTCACCATATTCCCATTGTAAGCCAATGCATTCTTGATGCTCGCCGCCGACCATTGACCACCCAGTTTCCACCACCACCAGCATCCCATCAAACCCTTCTCTCTCCATTGCATGCACAAATGCATCGACTGTTGCGTTGAAGATATTATCATAAGACAAGTTATTGTCATGTTGACCATTTGTAGATCTGGACAAAGTGTAGTTCAGTGACACATCATGCGGGTTTTTTTTGTAGCTGAAATATGGGTACACATTGACCATCAATGGCGATCCACTGTCACTGAGGAACTGCATGAGAGGAACCATGGCTGGCTGAGGACTTGGGTTGAGCATACGGAGGGTATGAACTAGACAGTATTGACGCTGCATGGGATGATGAGAGCTTGGTTGTGTCGGCAAGGCCTAGCAGGATGTCCTTGATCTGTATGTGTCGGCCGAACAAAATCCTCATTGAATTTTATTTTCCAGTTAGAAGGGGCTTGCACCTGTTCTGCAATGCCCTTTTGAATACTTTGCTGGTATGAAAAGTTCTTAATGGTAACTAAGTACCCGAGTCTCCAATAGATTGACCTATGGTAATACTTACAGCTTCTCCCAATTCGACCAGGTTGCCATGAGTAGGACTTCAGCCATAATATAACTGAGGTAATAGTCACTTTGCTGGATTCTAATAATGCTGCCCAATCTGTCCCATCGGCATTTACTTTCATGGAATCTCAAGCAGGACAAGCCATGCAACATCCATCCAGAGGTAATATTTGTGTACCTTGTCTCTAGACAGCAAAATATGATGGAAGCCAAAGTTGCAAGTAATTACAGACAGAGATCTTGACATTTGTTATAATTTGGCGTCTTAAGTTTTAAATCCACCAAGCCCCCAGAAAAAAAAGAAAAGGTTTTGCTAAACCAAGTAGATAATAAAAGGACAATTATAACAAGCTCGAGAAACTGCTATGTTTAAACAAGATTGGTAGAAATATTGCAGAGCAAATTGAACTCTCTAACATTACGAAGTATGCTAAGTGAATTTACAAAAAACAGTGATTCAGAAGAAGCTTACAGGAAATGCATTATAGACAATGTGATGCTCGATGTCAAGGGGCTCGCCTGTCTCCAGGCATGAGGGCCTGTGAGATGGGAAGCTAACTCTCAGAAATTCCTCCAATTTTTGGGAATCTATTGTGTACCTGTAGCCTCCATCACCATTGAAACCAATCAGGACTATGTTCACTTCAAGTGGGACTTGGAAAGGAACCTGCATGACATTTATGTTAACATGATTAAACGTCTCCTAAGACAGAAAGTAAGCATTTCCTTTTTCTTGCTTCCTCTGACTGCCTCCATTTTATTTTTAAATATTGCTATTCAAAATTTTAAAATATAAAAATTCTAATGATACTGAAGATTGTAAAAAAGTATAATATGAAGTGTATGATAAGTAGATCATGACAAAGATGAGAGAGAGAGAGAGGTCATAATTTGGTGCTTTACTACAACATTGAGAAATAGTTATGGCTAATCAAAATGAAATTGATACAGAATCATATACAGAATAATAAAATGGCTTATAAATCTACGGGCAGTCAACATAATGAAATTATAAACCTTCCGAAAAAAAACCACAATGAAATTATACAGAAGTGAATGATATCAGAAGCAATGTTTATCACACAAATAAGTCAGAACAAGCTGTAATTAACGGAAAAACATTATAGAAATGTAGAAATCAAGCTGTGAAGAGTAGAGGTGAATATCAATTAAAGTGTGAGGAGATCATATCATATGAAACAAAATCGACATAAATGACATTTGAGAAAAATGAAATTGTAAGCGAATTGAATAACAAAATAAAAAACAATAATTTCATAATGGCACGTAGGTATCACCACATCAGCATATAGAGAGATGAATTACCTCAGCGCGCGAATGGAGCATCTGACGAACGTCGGATCTCACGCTGTCTTTGACTTCTTGAAAGGCACTATGATGCCATTGTTGATGCCCTGGATCTCTCCTATAGGCTTCTGTCTTCGCCGACTCCGATTGCTCTACAATCAGACTCACTGTCGCCAAGAATATTATCAGAGGACACAACAAGCTTCGAGTTGATATCATGCTGGCTCTATAAATCGCAAAACCTCTCTCTCTCTCTCTCTCTAGACGAGTGTTCGTCCTGATGCTATGATGAGATGGACATCTCTACTGGAACGAAATAGGCCGTGCAGGTCTCCGGGAAAGCTTTCACTGGTAAACTCGAGGTTGGTTATGGAATTCCAAAAATGCCCCGATGTTTGTCCATTATTACCATAAATGTTCATCTGAGGGTTTTTTGCTTTGCTAGATTCACGGGCCGGCGCTGATTTCTGGACCCGTGACTCAGAAGCCCAAAACTGTTGATAGATGTCAGTCAAATGCTATGACTCGAGGTCCTCAATGTGACAATGGGTTAGTAAATTTAAGACGGGTTTTATTTTAATTTATTTCATTACTAATTAAAAAAAATAGACCTTCTAAAATACTTAACTAATTATCAGAAAATATATAATCCTCGAGCCTCACATAAGGCAATTACTCGTGTGGTCTCAAGAGTAAAATTAAATAAAAAAATCACCAACTTCATAAAATGAATTGCTGACTGATTTATCGATTTTTTAGATTCAAAAAAATCACGTCTATTCATTGGAGATTGATATTAGTTGGCCAATCACAATTCTCCTAAACTGGAAGTTTGGGAAGATTTAGTTGAAACTTTTCTTTTATACTTCTAGAGTTACTTAAGTAATAATAAAGGTGAATTATAAATTCAGACGTTCAAAGTTTGAATTCTAATAATCTTTTAAGACTAGGCTATAATAGATTTATCTCTTATGAATACTCTAGTCTAGATATGAATAATTTAACTTTGATCGGACCGGAAAAAAAATTAATTAAAGTGTGTATAAATTGACCAAAATATCCCTGACCGTTAAAAAAATAAAATGGTATCTGCTGTATTTCTATCTTCCTAAGGAACATCAAACTCAGTTCTCAAACAGAAGCCACACATATGCTCAAAATAAGAAGTGAAAGAAGCTGAACATAGAGTGCCAATACCGCGACGTTTTTATAATAAATATTTCATAAGTTGTAAGAACACAAATACAGCTTTGGTGACTAGTAAGGAAATAAAACTACAAGAAGCTTTAAATTAAATTAGAACAAGCTTCAGAATTGATTGTACCACGGTATTACAAAAACTTTTATAATTTCAATCTTCCAACAACAACAACATTCTACAATTTTAAGCCTCTTCAATAAGTGAAACACTCTCGGTATTAAAGCAGCACAAGACGATGTTGTGCTTTATGAAATATCCGTTGCCGCAGTAATATGCTTCTCCAGGGTTAGCCGAAATCAGAGGTGGCAGGTATGTGCTTTAAGTTCACAACAAATCAGTGTTCTAAGGCACTTCGGATCGAAATTGGAGGGTCTTGTACCATGCCTCTGGATATAAGATCATGGTTTAAGAACAAAACAATGACAGTTATATCATCATGAAAATGACGTCGGACCTTCTTGTCAATCTTTCGAAGGTCCGAATATCTCATCTCTCTTTTTCTTGCCGCTTCGTGAAGAGCAGCCTTGACGAGCCTCTTTGCACTTCCCTGCATTAGCAGAAAGATGGATAAAACTGGAGATGCCAAGTGAGAGAAATATGTAGACACATGGAGAGGAGTGGGTTATGTCTCGTTTACTAGATCATTTGAATTTATGATTGCCACCAATATAATGCCAAAGATAAAAAAACATCCAAAATAAAGGAAAAAAAAGAAAGCACCAACGGGAGCATCCTGAAACCTATTTATCCCACGGTGGTGGCACCTAGATAACTAAATACTCAGTCCAGCTTAACATGTATGAACCAGAAGGCAGGCATTACCCACCACTAGAGTCTCTCCCGTTCACACAGCTATTCAATGATTCACCAAAATGAAATGCATCTCCTAACTTTATGAATGGAGCCATAAAAAGATCTCCAATTTTTTTTTTCTTCTAATTTTGGTGGGGGAAGAAGAGGGGTATTTTTATTATAATTTGAGAACAGAAGTGCAAAGATCAACCTAATCAAGAACAGAATGATGATGATAACAGTGTGGACCAGCTCTTAGCCAGAAAATTAATTGGCAAAAAGAATCCATCATGCTCTTTCTATAAGAAAACATAAAATAATGCACCCTCATCTACCTTGGAACCATAGCAATCAAATTTCATGTCTACAACCAAAGGATTACGATCACAAAATGATTATGTACTGGAAAACAAATCATTCAAAAAGAAAATAGGAAATCTAAACTCATACAACCTAAACAAAGACAGCAAAAGAACAAAAATGCAATTTCATGTAAAAAAGGGTGATCAAAAAAAGAAAGACAGGACAAATTCTTACTGCATGTGGATGATTGTGGACAATATCAACCGCTTGTTGATTACTCAAGTGTTCCCACAAACCATCAGAAGCATATATAAGGAAAGAATCATTTGGTTGGAGAGTATGAGAAGTAATAGATGGAGTGGCACTCAATATGGGCATGTTCATTGGTTCAGAAAGTCTGAATTTCGCATTGATGGGTTCCCTGTTAAACTGCGCATGTTTCATATAAACGTCGCCTATAGATCTAGAAACCTGCATCAAATACAATCATGATGGTGATGAAAAACTCAAGAAATATGGACAAGGGAAAATACCATTAAAAAAGTCAAGGCAATATCCTTGAATCTTTCAAAACCCATAATTAACTTAGTTCAACCAATTTACAGCAAAAATAAATAAATAAAAGAAAACTTAGTCTAACCAGTCGCTGTAATTCGAGTTTTCTTTTCGAACATTTTTCATCAACAAACCGATCTATATTTGATAGACGAGCATTGCAGATATGAAGTCATATTGTATAAGAAACCAACATGATTTGTACTAATAGAAAAAATACTGGAAAAAAGGGAAAACACTCAAACAATTAGAAAGCCAATAAGAAGTTCCACCAAACCCCCCCCCCCCCCCCCCCCCCGCCCAAAACCCAAAAAAGAAAAGAAAACAACCCAAAGGATAAAAACAAAAACACAGGAAAAGAAGTTAAAAAAAAAAAGAACAAAAAGATGAACATTTTCTCAATTCCTTTCAGACACGCAATTGGCAGTGAGATCAACCAACCATATGTCGAGGCCCCATCACTTTCTAACTAACTAAAAGCAAAGGGTCAGAACGAAAAGGACGAGTTTATTCAATCCGGAAGACATATAAAAGAGAGACGAGAATTATTTGATTACGGACAATATAATGCAAAAAAATTCAATTTCCTTTATGATACTGCTCATATATGAATTGATCACCACCCAGGGGTAAAGAAATAGCTAAACTAGTCTGAGAGGACGGAAAGTACCAAAAGACCTACATATTCTAATTCAAACAATTCAAAGTAAGAATCTATGAGGGCAGAATGTTGAGACAGGGTAAGTAACTTCTAAACATTTAATAGAGGAGAGGGACCTCCAAGTTCGTGGGAGGCATATGACAAATTATGCAGTTAGGGCCTTTTCAAGCTGCTAAATTATTGATAACCAAACCAAAAGATTAAAATCCATTGTAAACTTGTCCCCACTTCAAGCCATCAGATTAAGAATCTTCTAAAATTTTCCTTTGATATTCGTGCACAAAAGCTCAACATGTATCCTATAATGTCTTTCAAAACACACCACAAATAAAAGCAATATGGAGCTGCCCAACAGCAATAATTTAAGGACCCACTAATCCATTTAACTGCCATGCTTCAAAGACTACAACAATTAGGTACAAGTGCCCAACTCATCCCAAGAAGGACGAGAAACAAACTTCACACCTCCCCAACCAAATCAAAGAATTTGGGAGCCACCGTTGCTTCATCACTTCTATGCCGTGACAGTTTCGGACAGGGCCACCGCTACTGACCAAGTAGCATATCGCATAACCTAATAACTCTTCAATGTCCACACAAAAGTTGCAAGTTACCAGTCCATCATAGTTCCTCGACATTACTGCAGCATGCAGTTGAGATCCACAGGTCACCATGCTTGGTCATTTCTTCCTATCAGAGTCTTCCTCATAGACCAAGGCAGGCCATCTGTGACATCCATATATGGGGTATTCAACCCAAAAGCATCCAGCACAAGTTTATGGATCATGCGGTGCAACATTTAAAGTCACAGCAATCAGACTCTGAAGGTGCCAAAACTACAAAGTAAAAGTCTTCTCCTCTATTATGGTTTTAAAATATCCCTACAGAAAGATAGATAAAAATGTATATATATAATTCTCTACATCTTAAAATTAATCCTCCCATGATATAGCAATCCCTCAAACACCACCTACATTCAGAGTGCTTGTATCAATACCCCAGGCAGTCTTCATGGCATTTATATTAAGTGCGTCTTAAACATTCCTGATTAGGGAACCAAAATGCGCAACCCTAGTATCTCATTGATATGCCATTCATGAAACTGTCAACACTGTTAAAAATCTCTATGCAAACCATAGATGATATATATGAACCATAGGACATTCTGGACAACTTAGGAATACTAGGAGAGAATTTCAAAAAAAAATTCCACGAAAAAGAGGATTATTGAGAACTTACCTGAATTATGCCTTTCACCCTCCATACTCCGTGCTTGAGGACAACAATTTGAGGATCATTAGGATGTAATTCTTTAAGCTCCTGCCTAACAGCCTCAAAGTTGGCATTGTGCTCTGTTGACAACTGTATGGCAGCAATACCCCCCGTGTCACCAACTTTCCTCCCCAACACAGCACGGGAATCTCCAAGATTTGCAATGAAGAGGGTCTGCCGATAGATCACTCCAACCAAACAGCATGACCCAACAGTTGCCATATGTGGCTTAGTATTCCACAACTCCGACACAATAGCAGTAAAACCTCTCTCTGTTTCAAGAAAAGCTCTTCTGATTGTCTCGGCTGTCACAACACCGCGTTCCTCAGCTGATATTGCTGCATATACACAAAATCTGAGAATTCCAACATAAGAAGCCCTTTTACTTCGAAATTAATGGCAGAAAATGACCAAAAAAACTGGCTCCATAATGGATCTATGTTGCATGTGTGGTATTGCAAATGTGTAGTTGCGTGCACTGTATTCAATGTGCATGAGTCGGTGTTCATGACAGAGAAAAAAGAAAAACGTGTGTGTGTTGTTGTTTGTTTGTTTTTTTTTTTTTTGTTTTTTTTTGGGGGGGGGGAGGTATCTGTTGCACTCAAGTAGGTAATTCTTGCCAGTTCCATTTACCATATAACAGCACTGTATTCTAGGCTCATTAAATTTCTAACCGATGATTCAATGTTGACAATCACACTTTTGTAATCAAAGCCCCTTGAAGAACCAATCCAAAATAGACAACAAGGATTACGACTACGAAACCTGAGCTCCTGGAAAGTCCCATCTAATACTATTTGGATTGAAAATAACTTCAACAGCAGTGTCCGATGCAAATGAATACCAAGGTTTCACAATCATGATTAACATTGACTGGAATTGGAAAAGTAAGATATGAAAACTCGTGATTTAACATATAGCCATAGATACATCAATAGGGAAATAAGATTCATATGACAATTTCAAATAGTCCCATGATTCATATAACTGACTTCTAATAATTGGAACAGCATTTTACTGAGTTGAGTTGTGCTCACAGAGTCCATACCTTTCACAATTCTCTTGGACAAAGCTAGTACAAAGAGGCTATTTTGACGGGAAACATTTCCATAAAAGTTCCCAACTAGAAATAGTCCAACGATCACAGGTTTCACAACCATTATAATACATAAAAAAAAAAAACACGAAATTACTATATATACTCTATCCTTGAATGCAAAACATAAAACTCATCGACACCTCTGCAAAATCATAACATTAAATTAGACAATGAAGCATGATACTGCAATGGAAATTTCCCGTTTCCCCAATATCGAAAATAGTAGACTTTATGATCACCATGATCATACATAATAATTAGCTCAATAAACGAACCTTGGAAATTCGGGAACAAGTGATCGCACACATATCTCGCAACCTCAGGTCCTCCATGTCCATCATAGACCCCAACAAAAGTCCCAAACTGACCCGACTCAATCTGACACTGATCCTCAAGCACTTGGTTGGCCTGAACCACGGCCATTGAAAATTCCCCACTCCCATACTTGCCAATATCTCGAAACCAAAGCAACCCATCTCTCCCAAAATCACCATTACTACCACTACTTCCACCTCTATTGCTACTAAAGCCACGAAAAGGCTTCCAACAGAGGGAGAAGAGATTCATTAACGCCCCGAGCATCCCACATCTCTCGATCAAAAACCCTACAAACCCTAGCCCCCAACTACACCCAATTCGACGCCTTGATTACAGTATTTCATTGCTCTCCTCCAAATTTTTGGGGGAAGAAATATATAAACATGGAGCAGAGACAGAGAGAGAGAGAGAGAGAGTAAAGCACCGAGGAGAGACAAAGAGCGTGTGTAGTGCTCGGTAGTAGAGGAACCGGGATATGTTCAATCTGTCTGGAAGGACATTGGTAGGGAGGCTTTTTGTTGGGTGTTATTTTCCATGTCCGTATATTTATTACACGCTGTGTATAAATATTTCTTTAATTTTCTGTTGGGTTTTTTTTTTTGGCTTTTTGTGTTTGCTTTTATGTGATTTGTTTCATTATTAATTTTTTCCTTCTTGTTAAAAAATGAAACTTTCCACCTCTCTCTATTTTCTTTTCTTACTAGTTTTAAAATTTATGGCGGACTTTTATTTCTGACTAATCGGCCTCACTCAGGCAGAGTTATACTATTACGTTTGCGAGTAAAATCTTAGTTTAAACTGGAATTTTTAGAAAGTTATTGATACGATTTACATTCTGCAATTCCACTAGCTAATGACAAAGGTATTTGTTGTCAATATCACAATTTAAATGATTAATCGTTCAATGTGACCAAACAAATAATTGAGGGTGAAGTAAAATTAAGCTCACAAAGTGGTATAAAATATAATTTCAAAAATTTGAGAGGCATGGAAATTAAAATAAAAAACATAACTTATAGGTACAATATATAATTTACAAACTTGAGGAGGTTATGGCCCCTCAAGTTTTTAATTACAAGAAGCACTTAAATACCAAAAAAACGTTTTTATCTAAGAGAGAAAAAGTACTCAAAATTCTTTGGGTAATTTAAGTAATAATTGAGACAAGTTGTAAATTCAGAAGTTTTAAGTTTGAATCTTAACAATTTTTTTTTGGATCAAATTATAAAAAATTTATTTTTCATGAATATTCTAGTCTCGATGTAATGCCACTAACTATCATTTGAATGTGTTTTCGACAAATAGATTGCATCATACTTATCTGTTATAATTACAAGTTAATAAACTATGTACTAGTTGGTTGACTTTCTTTCTCGTCTCACTTTTTATTATTTTTTTTTTAGGTTAACAATTGGACTAGTTTATATGTATTTTGATTAATATTTTTCTTGATTCGGTCAAAGAGTAGTTATTCATGTCAAGATTAGGGTATTCGTGAGTAATAAATCCTTCATAGTCTGATCCCAAAAAATTATCAAAATTCGAATTTAAGACATCTGAATTTATAATTCGTTTTTGTTACTTTCTGATCTCACTCAAACAGTTCTTGAAATACACACTTGTAGACTATAATTCTCATGTTAATACCTCGTGGACTTGCGACAAATATCAAAAAAAAAATAAAAAAAATTTGAAGGTCGCTTCAAGAAGTATTGGCCCCACTTGGTAATGCAGTCCAGCAAAGATTAACAAGGAGTGGACAGAGATCAGCTCACCTAGATTTGGTCTCTAGGCATTGAATCAGCATGAATTTTGTGTTGTGGGGGGTAATTACGCAGAAAAGCATTGTAATGGCATTGCCTATGCCATCATATTGCATTGATCAGGACATCACAAACACCAAGAGCTCTGCCAACAAGTCTGGTTCAATTCAAGGTAATTCAAGTGGTTATATAAACGAATTGTAAACTCAAGTAATATTTAGCGTTGATGATCTGTCTTTAATTAGACCGGAGAATAGATTAATTGAAATACACATAAGTTAGTCCAAACACTCCTAACTAACCGTTAAACCAAAAAAAAAAAAAACACACAAGTCCTGTCCTGGCCTCTATCCCATTCACCTGCATGCTGAATGCTTGGTCTGGCATCTGCCCTAGCGACGCAATTGTTGCTGTACTGTAATGGGGCCGATCAGATCACTAGCAATGTCATGGCTTTTCCTGCAATTAGTAAGACTCTGGTATGTCACCATCCAAGTTATCACTTTTTTTTTATCTAGTTACGATAAAAAAGCTAGAATTGATCCAAAATAACTTCATTTTACTATAACTCTATTGTATTGAAGTGTAAATTCACCCCTGAATTGTAGCAATTTTAGTTGGGTGCTGAAAAAAACCCATTTGGTATTCTAGTGTTATCCGTTTGCCATGGAATTTCTTTCTATAGTATGTAGCTTTGATCAGGACTTCTCAACCAATTGAAAGCTCTGGCTGCAAGGCCTGACCTGGCTACTCCATTCAATTGAATTCTGAATGCTACCCTTCGACCCAGATTAGTGTCAAGTGTGAACAACAGAATGGGGCCGGTAACGATCACTTCCTTGCTAAGCAGCATAAAACAGCAGCACAATGGCCTTTGGGTTACAATCAGACAAGTCCAGCATATTTCATTTGTTGTGTTCCAACAAAATGTTTATGGACACATGGGTAGATGAGACACTGAAAGCAAGTTTGTTATTAATCATGCCGGCCTCTGTTAAAAAAAAATATAATTTTATACAGGAAACTCTTCTTGTCATTGCATAATTTGGAGGACAATAGAGATACATACGGTCTTAGTCTCCCATGCGAAACAATTACTTCTATGATTCGAATTGTAATACTTAGATCACAAAGAAACAACTATCAATAAAATCTATCCTCATGAGTGAGAGAGAGAGAGAGAAAGAGAAGGAGATAGAGGGTGTGTTTCTATCGACCTTGATAAGCATATTGATGGAACTTTAAGTGGTTTAGTAGCCCCAGATTGACACGTGAAAAAAGGTAGCTGTTATGGAGCTCAAGGGACACCGAGGGAGGAGCCGAGAAATAATGGTTGGGAAGAGCCGAGTATACGAACTGACACTCGCATTTAATATGATTAGACTGCTCATTTACGGTGATGTGAGGGACTCAATCAAGGCTATTAATGAGCCTCTATATTCTCAAAACCTAAAATCTACAGTAATAATTGTTAGACATTAATGGCTAAAATCTCGAGTTTACCCCTCGGTGTATCCCAAGGTACTATTTCCCGAGCATTAAACGCTCGGGAGACTTGGGGATAGCCTTAAGTCCTTGGTGTGACACCGAACACTTGTTCTATCATCTTAGCATTAAAGATACGAAGATATTGGTGGAAAACACATATTGCATGTGGGTAAAAGTGTTAGACATTAAATTAAATATATTGAGATGCGACTTAAAGCCTTTGCACTTATTGTAAATCCAAGTATAAATTTTTTGTAAAAAAATGAACAAAAGGACAAAAAATCTAAACATAAAAAAAAAATACATTGTGCTAAAACCTACAATCTCATACTGACTTAAGTTTCGAAAGGAATAAACCAAATATTCACCCACCTCCTTTTCTGACCTCGTGATTGTTTCAGGTTCACCATACAGGGGACCACTATCTCAATCTATTATAAGAAATCCCCCGTGCACATATCATATAATTGATCTCATCTTTATTGTGTAATAACGACCCTAATAATCCTTGTGAGTCTTCATTGATTTATCCGTTACAAGGTGCATGCAACACTAAGTACGCCAGAAAGATTAAGCAAGTGTTCAAGGACTTGGGGGAATATATACACCATGAATCCATGATAATGATATTAACATCACCCCTATTCAGAGAGAGAGAGTAACAGGATAGAAGAAGGGCAAGAGAGAATAAAACTCCTATCATAATATAATGTTCAACTTTGGACAAAGGTTAGTGTCATATACTGCAGCAAAAAAGATTTCTTGGCATCGATTGTATAATGTAGTCATGTTAGATGAATTTCTATCTTTGCTAAATGGTAATGAAATCCTTAGTGGGTCCCCCTCTTCGATGGTCTTCGTTCAGCCCATGAACCTTCATTAATAAGACTTCAATTTGATCTTCTTCGCTTTGCCTTTTCCAACTTTCCTCAATCCCAAAATCTTCTTAATATTCTGTAAAATCTTTAGCAAAAACGAAGCCGTAGTCATCTTCTTGTTCTTCTTTTTCACCTCCTTAAACGCCACCATTTCATTCTTCTTCCTCACCTGCTCGACGAAATTCCCCAACGAAGCCCCATTCCTTGTAAAAGCCTCAACAAGTTCCGTAAACAATGGCTCCATCGCCACTTTAAATTTGCTTGAAACATCTATCGAACCGGAAGAAATTACAGACCCATTTTCTTTACAATAACCCACTCTCACAATTCCATTCATATACGCATTACAAGCATTTAGTATATCGCTTGCACGCTCACGGAAATGCATGGAAACGAAGTTTTCAAAGTTTTTAGGAGGCGTTTTAAGCAGGTAAAGCATTGTCTTGCAAGACAACACGTAAACATTCTCGCTATAGGCCAATGATTTCTTGATCCTACCTGGAAGTATATCCACACCCGGTTCGTTAAAGTAAGGCTTTTGGTTCAACACAAGCCCTTGAATCGAGACCAGGACTTGTAGCACCGTCGACTGATTTGGGTCCCATTTCTCGTTCCTCCTTCCGGTCCAAGTGTTCAAAAGGCTGAGACAGACACGCCCATTCGAGTACAAATTCGGATTCAAACGCAACCCGAATGAACGATAATGGACCATCGGCGGTCGATTTGGGTAGTCGGAAGGGAAGGCGATGTCGAAGAAGAAGAGACCATCGTGATACGGTGTGCCGGCGGACCCGACGATCACGGCTCGGAGGAGGTCGATACGCTGCTCATAGGCCCGCACGTAGATTGATTCTGGGAGGTCTTTTTCAAGAATTTTCCATTCTCTCATGATCCTCTTGTGAACCTTAATCGATGCAGATTTGAAACAATCCGAAGCATTGTTGTTGTTGTTGTTCTTGTTCTTGGGTAGGTATGTGGTGTGGTAGTGGTGGTCTGAAGCGCCGGAGACTATGTCGAAACGCTTGAACTTTCTGGTTGTGGCCTCCTCTTCTTCTACTACTATCTCTCCGTTCTGCAACTTTGGGTATCCAGAGAGAGCCATTGTTGGGGAATTCTACAGAGAAAAGGAAGAGGAAATCAGAGGGAGGCGATGCGAGTGTGGGTGAGATTTTGGGAGGAGAGAATGTTGGCTGAAGGAAGTGGGAGTACTGCCGTAGTGTGGTGGGACTCGCTTTGTGCGAAATTTTTTACGGTAACGCGTCAAAAGCTAGCAACAGTTGGGGTTTTGTGGATTTCTTGTTTACGCATCTCAAAACTTGTTCATTGGACCCATTTTTATTTTTATCTATTTTATATAATAAAATAAAATAAATATGTTCATACAACGATCTCAAATAAATTTATTTAATAATAATTAATATTTATTTTAAAATTATTTACTTTAAATTTGTATAATATTGCTCTTTGACAATTACCCTGATAAAGATTTGAACTACTAAAATTAAACTTATGTTAAATTTGTTCTCGTTATCTTAACAATTTTACCTACTCTATGCAAGAGGTGATTTTAATTACTTTCTATGGAATCTTATATTTTATCTTTATTAATTCTCAATAGTAGTTCAAGTGATAACATGAATAAGTTATAAATTCAGACGCTATGAATTTGAATCATGACAACTCTTTGAGTTTAGGTAATGAGAAATTTATCTCTTATGAATACATTATTCTTGTAGTAGATAACCTATATTTGACCAGATTTAGAAAGAATTAATCGAAATCTGTGTATACTAATCTTAATGCCCTGATCGGTGAAAAGAATTACTTTCATCTCCATTGTGTCTGGATTTTTCCAATTTCATTTTGAACCAAATTCAATTATTGAGGATGAACTTGTTGACCCAATGGATTTCTATAGGTTTCGTCGATTCATATACAATTGGTTAGCTGTGAGTAGGAGTTGCTTGACTGACTGGCGGATTTGTGACACATTTCTGGAAATGACGTGAACAAATTAACCAAGTTCTATGCATTGGCATTGCATGACATAGACCAAACTCCCTTGTTATAACCGCATCCAACAAATGTAGAAATCACACAAATGTTGTGATCATAGCTACATATAGGATGTGATTTTTCCATTTTTTTTTTCGATTTGAACATCCTTTTTCCTTGTTTGGTTTTTGGTTTAAGGGTCAGAGTTATTTAGGTCAATTTACGAGTCTTCCACCAATTTATGATGGAAATTTAAGCACGTGAGGTGTAAGTGCTTAAGACATGAGAATGAGCTGTGTCCATCGCTCCGCATCTTTAATTGCAATCAATTTGACACCATTTTATATGTCAAAAATAGAGTTATATCAATACTGTCACGTGCAATTTACATGAGACACCAACAATATGTGAATTTACATATAAGTCCATGCCCGAAATATTTGTAACTCACGTGCTTCAATTCCACATTGCTAATAATTTATAATATTGAGGATATAAAATAAAATTTTTAATATCTAAAAGTATAAATTAAAAATTAAAAAAGGGTGCAAAATGAGCTTAGTCCTATGATGAATGCTTGATTTGCGGTTGCAACTGTGAACAGCTAAGCCCAAAAGATATTGAATCTCATTATGATTTCGATTCGGTTCATTTGCACCGCTAGGTTAGTTTGCTTTTGTTGATGTTTGGGGACATGATAAAGGATGTGTGAGCCCCTCGTCTTCCTTTCTTACTTTCACCAATAAAATTATAGTTATTAAATTCGATTTCATTTTAATACCGTTCATTTATTTTTCGATATGAGTAATATTATGTAATTCAAATTTACATCTCAAATAAAGGGAGACCATTGGATCAATGTGTCCCATTTTAAAAAGTCTATAGGACCTACCCTTTCATTTGAAATGTAAATTTGGGTTACATATTATTTTTTTTTTCATATAATACTAAAAAATTAAAGGCTTTATTTGTTAATCATCTATTCGTTAAAAAAAAATTTAAAAACTCATAATCGATTTCACCGGTATATAATTTCAAAAATTAAAATTAATTTTAAAAAATAATAATATTTAATAAACATAACATTTGTCTTCTTTCCGGGCAAAATTTTATTTGAAAAAGTAGTCAACCTTATAAAAAAGGCTCTTAATTGACTTCAATGCAGGGAAATGACCAGGGTGTCACAATCAAATGCACCTATAAGATTATCGAAAGACTTGGTTGAGATTAAGGACGAAAGGAAAAGATACAGCCATTGCCACCCCCACATGAGTCTTTGTTATGAATAGAACTATTATCTGGTCTCTTTCGGAGAAATTACCTGCATTTTTCTGGTCAATACAGTGCCGTGTCCTATAGGAGACACCCATCAATCTCAAATACAAGAGCATATTCAATAAAACGGTGATATTATATCAGTATTGATAATATGATATTATCAAATAATAATTAAATCTCAAATAAATAAAGTAAACGCTACTTTAGGAGTTAATGACTTACATGAAAGAAAAATGAGTAATTATTTACTTACATGAATGAATAATTATTGAGTCCACTTTTTTATTTATCTGCATATTATTAGTTGATGATATCATGCGACCATGCTGATGTGATATCACCGTTACAATGAATATCATTTCCTCAAATACACCCCTTGTGTGAGCAATTTTAGGGCAAAAACCCTTCTCTTAATTTTTTCTTCCAAGGTATATTACTCTTCATATAACATTGGGTACCTACTTATAAATAGTAGGTCCTATATATGGGTTAATGATAAATTATCCATCATTGAATTTTTTTAAATAATTTAAAGCAGACATTTAGATCTAATAGGAGTCTTTGTTCATAATGGGATCTTTGAATGGTGCAATAGGAGTCTTTGACTAAATCGGAAAAGAAATTTGGTTGAAATACGTTTAAATTGGTTCAAACAACTTTAATCGTTAAAAAAAAAAAAATGGTGCAATTGAGGTCTACAAGAAAAGGTCAAAAGATTCTTTAAGATGGGACCATTTAAGAGCCCTTTTGCAGCTAGTTTTCTCCTTTACTTTAATAGGTAGGAGAGAGAGAGAGAGAGAGAGAGTCGATATGAAGTTTAGTTAAAATGGCAGTGAATTGCCATTTTGAAATTATTAATGTGAATCATCTTCATCGCTTTCTAGCTTGTTGCTGCTTCACAGAAAGTGGTAATTTATAGCTTTTATATGAACGGCACTGCACTGCACTGCACATAAACTTGTAGCCTCTTGTCAACCCATCCTGCTCTGGATCACTTTCCTTTCTCTACAAATCTATCCACAAAAACAAAAGGGTAAGAAGAAGGCACCTAAACTTACAAGTAACTGGACACTTATTATAAATTACTTATTCATGTTCAAGTTATGCCTAAAAAATCGATCTTAAATCATCTCCACTCCTTAGCCGGAACTCTAATTCAAATTTAACTTTCTATTCAAATCAAGACAAACTCAAATATTTACTTAAATTAAACTTAAAAATTTAATTTAATTTATTAATTTAATGATATGACAATTACATGATCCAATAGAATAATTATAACGATAACTGTTAAATTTCTTCATTAAAACTTTTATCACTTGCCACATCATACTGTTAATAAATTAAATCAATTTTTTAGATCCCGATGACATTACTCTAAAGAAGCATGGAGTGATGATTGAGAAGTGCACACAGATTTTGGTTTCAATGGGAAGCTGAGTGAATGATAATATGCTTCTGGAGGCCCGTTGACGGTAATCAGAAGCTAATTTCACAGTCATCGTGGTTGGGCTGCGGTGTTCCGGTAGCTCCAATGACTAACCCTCCAAGCAGGTCTTCCATCGATTAAATTACCTGCCAAGTCTCCAAAGATACAACCCAATCACAGAACGTATGCAACAAATGAGCAAAGAGAAAGAATTAAGACCCATCTCCACACAAATGATGGACCTTGTAGAAAGAGCTTGTATACCTAACCTAATGGTAGATCTGGAGTGTCACACATGGTAGTCTTTCCAGGGTAAATTAGGTGGCCAAGATAATGTTATCGACTTTTTCCAGGTATATTCACACCTCCTAGAAAGAACTTGAAACTTCATGGTAAATCTGCGGCATGATCACATGGTAAATTGTGGCCAGGATCATTTTATTGCTCTTTTCGACGTTTTGGTGGACCAACAAATTTATTTTGACAACAGGAAGTAAAAGGAGTAATGAATGATTACAACTTGGAAGGAGTTTTATTCGAGCTTCGACCAGCTATGAACTCCTGCATTTTCTTGAACTGATCTTTAGACATCCCCTTGTAATACGCGTGACCCCTCTCCTGAAAGAAACAATAACACAGGATAAGTCAGACATGATATGAGGATTACTAGATGTCTATATGGAAGTTCTATACAAACTGGCTACAATTTTAGATTAAATGGCAATCAAGACAAGGCAACAACCGGAACAATCAACACATACTGTTAAGTAATGTTATAGTAAGTAAATAAATATTCATAGGTACAAAAGTACTATTCTTTGGTGGGATCTGAGCCAGAGATCAATCCTGCCCCCAATGGTTCATTCTTTTTTCTGGTTTATGAAATAGAGGATTTCACTAAGTCAATTCTTAGGAAATCTCAAATCAAACATTTCGTCTTTATTTCAACAAAGGAAGCAATGACCTCTTCGATAGAAGAACTTTTTTTGTCATGGTCCCAATTCAATACTAAACAATTTCGAACTAAATGAATACATGTGTCAGAAATACCATCTGTTATTTCATATGTGACTACTAGTCGAACCAAAACAAAATATGACAATGAAGAAAAGGCAACAAGCGGAACAAGCAACACATACTCTTAAGTAATGTTTTCATAAGGAAATAAATACTCATAGGCTACAAAAGTACTATTCTTTCAACCCCACCCTCCCACCCCCTTCCCTTTACTTTTTTTTTTTCATTTTTCCCTTCATCTTCATTAGTTCTAACTCCTAACTCCTAAAGCTGGCCTCCCAACTGTTAGTCCAATTAAGTGATTAACTGAAGCCAGAAATGGGCACAACAGATTCAAAACTCATAAATAAAAGAGAAGTTAATTTGCTATTACATACGCAACGGTGCACTATGGATCAGACTCTCCATTTACCAACACACTAGTTTTGTATCTTGGCTTTGCCGTCCAAAATTCCCCACTATATGTAGAGATCTCCCAACACACACACTGATCTCCAAGTTTAGTAATATCCATAATTGCAATCACCATTCCCGGCTTCTTTGATTGATTTCTGATTGTACCACAGTAAAACTGAACTAAGGAAAGGCTGAGGTGCTTTACAGATACAAACATCAGATAAAATGAAATTGCAATGCTCATAGCAGCTAATGAGCAATTCACAAAAAAAAAACATAGATTTATCAAAATAGCAGCCACACATACCAATTCGAAGGTAGGTGCAAAATCCAGAAGCATAAGAGAAATAAATACCTTCTCCAGTACAAGAGCATGACCCAAGTCTTGTTTGAGCCCATCATTAATAACAGCCTTGTACCTCATAACCAGGTCTTGATTATTCTTTATTATGCTTTCTGCAACTTGTCGAGCCTTCTTCAACAGTTCACTACTTTCAACAACATGATTTACCAAGCCCCACCTCTCAGCTTGTTCTGCAGTTATGGGCATGGCAGACAGAGAAGCTTCACGAGCTCTGTTGGGTCCTATAATCCTTGAAAGCTTCTGAGAAAGACCCCATGAAGGAAATATCCCAAACCTATAGTAACAAATTTAAATAGACATCTCCATAAGAAAAAAAAACAACAATGCAAAGAAACATAAAGAAGCTCAAATGACACTTCTATTCTTAAAAAATCCAAACTGAACAGACAATTCCAGTGATCCAAAACACAATATCAGTAACATGTCCATGTTCTTGACCTAGTAAAAAACCACAAAAATAAAAAATAAAACCTAAGATGCCTTTGGCAGCATAGAATTATGTGGAATAAAGGCTTTGGCATGGAAGATTAAGTCATATAAATTACAACGAACCCTCTAGCTTAATTTCATCAAACAGCAATTCAATAGCATACAATTATAAACCCAAACCCAGTTACTGTTTAATTCAATAGAGCAAGCCAATCAATCCAATCTTCTCTCTCCAAGGAACACTATACTTATTGAACAACTGCAGCAAAACACAACTAAATTGGATAAAAAATACAGCAAAAGAAAAAAAGAAAAAGAAGAAGAGAACAAACCTAGCATGGGTATCCATGAACTTAGCGTCTTTGGAAGCAACCAAAAGGTCACAAGCCAAAGCAATCTCGAAACCAGCAGTGACCGCAAACCCACCGATGGCTCCAATAATGGGTTTTCTGCACCGCTCCATCTGGGCAACCGGGTCGGTCTCGACATCCTTCACATCCCCCTTAAACACGTCCTCGGCAGCCGTTAAATCCACGCCGGAGCAGAATGCTCGACCGGAACCGGAAAGTATTATGACCCGAACCATCTCGTCGGCGTCCAACAACTTGAACGCCGTAGCTAGATCCGTCATCATTTGCTTCGTCAGCGAGTTCAAAGACTTCGGCCTGTTAATTGTGACGGTGGCGATTCCGGCCGGCTCGCGGTTAACGAGTATCAGTGATAAATCCGCCATTTTCGTGCTCTGTCTTCTACGTTATTCGGATCTATCCGTCTGTTGATATAGTCGAAATATGAAGATTTGTGGTTTGACATGCGTGCCCATTTCAACCTTATCTTTTATTAATTTTTCGATGTAACGTTATGGGCCACGTGTCTTAAGCCACACCGCAACAACGTTTGGTGTCATCAAACATACGAAATTAGAGTCACATCAGTTGTAGAGCGAAAATCATTCTTACCCTAATATGACCGTGATTTCTCCTTATATACGATTATCTCCGCTATAAATAACTAAATAAAAAATAAAAAAAATCAAATCTATTAACAAACAATCATCTTTTCTATTAGCTTTAAACTATTAAAAAATACGTAATTTAAGTTTTTATACTTTAACATGTCTTCACATTAAAGTTAAATTTTAAACCTAATACGTGAAAATATTTTAATTATTAAAATGACAGTAAAATTTAAATATAGATTATGAACATATCACATGAGTACCTTTTAATTATCGGGATGACAATAATATTTGAATATAACGTTAAATAACTATTTATTTTGAAAATTTAAGGTGTCAGGGAGGGAGAATGTACCTAAATATTTATATTTCAACTGTAAATTTTAAATACAAGGAGGCTCATACCGAATCCTTGCACTAACTAGCAGGCAAAACTCAACTTTAGTGAACAATTAGTGTTAACAGTGGCTGCATACAAGGCACCCTTCCATAGTTGCACACCAAAGTTTCTTCAAGAACCATGTTCGTGACAAGAGATTTCATTGCAGTTTGTAAGTGGCAGAAAAGAATATATTGAAGTAGATTTGAGATATATGAATTAATGAACTCGCCAAATCACATTAAATGAAGCCCAAGAATGGACAATTGATAAATACACTTGGTATTGGATATGCTATCTTTGGTAAAACAAAGAATATGGCTTTTCTGTTCAACTTCTTCTAAAATAGTTCTGGGATTCCATATTATTCCATAGGTCAGGATTCGAGGAGCAGTCTAATATTCATCGGTGAAATATCATTAGAGTCGCCGTCCACCAGACGCTTCGCTATGATAGCATTAGCAGCATCAGTTGGATGGTATGGATCCCAAAAAACATACTTTGATCTGTCTGGACAAACTTTAGATGGAGGACCGCATGGGACTATACCTCCATGGTGACCAGTAAGGTAGCAGCAAGACGAATCTGTATTTTGAAAACCTGTTGTAGACAAATATGAGCTTATCTCAGCACACAACCGGTGATTTGAAATGATTCTCTGCTAAAAAAATTGTACATCAACATTACACGCACCATATGATAAGTAGTTTATAAAGATATCCTCTACAATGTTGTACACATCTGCATATGCAAATTTTGATCCCTTTAGGTTGATGCTTAGCTCTGCGACGAGGCCTTTTAACTGGCTGTTGAACAACTGGGCTAACTGGTTTGGGAAAGCAACACAGCCATCTCCTGCAGATGGATTGATATCTCTCTGATAAGGGATACACCCAATAGGCCCCACATTTGCCACAACAATCCTTCTAGCACCCATATTGTAGAGCCTCTGAAGAAAGGATCACTCAAGTTATAAACAATCATATTGAACTGGATTATACATATATACTAAACAAGGAGTTGCTAGGAACTTGTACCGTAAGTTGAATCCTGAATCTTGAAATCAATGCTGCAACGAATGTTTCAGGAGCTACCAGCTTCTGCTCAACCACAGAAACTACCGGTGTCAGGTAATTGTTGATGAAATCATTCGATCCAATTGCAACTGAGAAGAGAGCCCTTTCAAACAGCTCCAATGCTGCAGAAGCACCTATAATTGAGATTATGTCTGCCTTGGTATTTGCAAAATTGTCCATCTGTGCGTCCAAGTTGATTCTACCACCCTATATATGCAAAACACCCATTGGGGGCATCAATCATGAAATGCATTCAAAAGTGTTAAGCTTGTAATTGCAAAGAATCGCTTCAACGATATGAAAACTAGATACCATATTGTCTATAGCATACAAAATATGAGAAAAGAAAGCGTCATAATTTCAGAACTTGATTGATAGAGATGAGGGCAACCTTATTTGCACTCTACATTTGACCTCTTGTACTCAACCTTGTGTCTTGAAAATTTACGGAAATGAAAGTGCATGAGGTCAAATCTGGGGTGTCAATGGAAATTTTCCATACCATAACAATCTACCAATTTTTTAGAAAAAAAAAAAATTTGAAAAAATGTTTTCCAAAGCAACACTGGTGTGAATAATTAAAAACCTTACAAAGATCTTTCCAGTGTGATTTAAAATGCCGCCTCCACCCGAAGCATAATTGACACCCTGCAGAACCACACTTCCAACTGTCGTTGGAGCCAAGTATGGAGGAGTAAAATCTTTAAAACCCATTTCCTGTCCTGGTGAAACACAATATAAAATTTCAGTAAATATCTTAATACATAGTCTCAAGGAATTATGTTATCACACGATTAGCAAATCATGTGCAAAAAAGTCGAATTGAGTGAAGCAACAAAGAGCGTATACTTGCCTATAATGTCAAGAATTGTCCTGCCGTTTGTGAATCTTCCTGTAGGCTTGCCAAAATCAACCCCATTCGGAACATAATTAGCCTTGGAGAGTGATGCAATGTAGTTGTTGTTACCCACCTCAACCAAAGAATCTCCAAAGACAAAATTAGCAGGAACATTTTCTGCAAAGCAGATCCCCAACCAAACCAAGACTGTTGAAATTTGGAACACAACCCCAACAATGATTTGTCTATATGAAAGAATAGCCATTACAAAGGCACAGACTACCGAAAAATCAATAAAATCTTATACTCGCAACAAAATCTTATTCAATAAAATCTTTTCCTTTGGTAATACTCTTATACTCGCAACAGAATGGAGGCAAGAGGAGACACTGAAGGAGATGGCAATGAATATATTAAGGCTATAAAGACTATATTATGACTGAATTATACTGTTCAAGGGATCAGATTAATGGTTTTCATTAACAAGCAAGCTCTAGTCTTCCATCCCATATTTAGAAACTATATATAGGATTGACATAACTACACAGTTAAAGGAGTGTGATTTGTGGTTTTCACGACCAGGCAAGCTCAAGTCTTCGATCCAACTTCTACAAATGGGTACAGTTTAGCTTTCTAACCACATGAGTGTAAAATGAAACCATAATAAACGACTATAATTACAATGAAGCAAGAACTTATTCTGCCATTAACACACTGTCAACAACTGAAACAATAATCAAACACTTGACTCCATACACTTTCCCTTCACAGTGTACCCCCTCGTTGTCATCACTTTAAACACATATCAAACAAATGGACTGCAAAGTAGGCAAAAAGGAACAAAAATAAGCTTTATGACCCATTTTCTCTCATGGAAACTGCAGATTTCAAACACTTTCAGGCACAAAACAAGTTATGAACCCCAAAAAAGTAAAGACCCTTTACTGTCTTTGATGAGATATGATGAAAACGAAGCAGAGTTTGTATGATCACGTACCCTTTTATAGATTAGGTAGTGGTCCTTTTGGAAACAATTCAATGGGTTAAGAGGATGCATTGAATTTCCTGCAAAATCAGCACCAACCCGTGAGAGAAATACCATTTTGGAGCCAATTGCAATTACACTATTGATCCGAGCACAAACTAAAATGAAATCAATGACCCAAATTGTCCCAGGATAAATGGAATTTCTAGCACTTACTGTTCTTTTTGGGTGGTTTGGCACTCACAATGGATCGTGGAGTGCGATGAACTTTTAAGGAAAAATTAAATACTTCAACTGCCCACATACCTAACAATCCCTCAGATTTCAAACCGGCAAACACTATGCGATTCAATGCAATCACTTAGACCAGCACCAATACCATTTATTGTCTATTAGACTAGCCACCCCTGTGTTCTTAGCTGTCCATAGAGTGACATGTACATATATCGCATGTATATCTATTCATCTTTATGACATTACCAACAGCACATGAATAGATTGTGGGGCAACTAGAAATTCTGATATGGGTGTGTCAATGTCTAGTCTTTAAGGTGCTTCCACATGCTCATGATTTTCTTTGTTGGGTGTAGGTCATCGCCGATCCCCTCCACACAATGGCTTGTACTCTCTGTGTATGTCTGTGATTATATATATACATTCTGAATCGTCGCCAGAAGTGGTATCTGCTGCCTCATTGGACAACCTGTATTAAAATTTCGTTTCAATTACTCAGAAACATTCGGAAAACTTGTTAACCCATTTCGAAAATAAAATAGACATGAATAAAAATTTTGATAATTAATTTTTTAAAATGCTAGTTAAAATACATCAAAACATACTAAAATACTTGTAATATTCCAAAATAGCGGTGTAACTACATTGAAATATAATAAAATATTTCAAAATATTAAAATTTTAATTTTATTATTGATTCATTTTTAGTGTCATTGAAAACAGAAAGATTTCGACTATTTTGATCCTTTTTTTTTGAATCAAAACGATAGAAATTTTATTAAGAAACTAAATCTAACAAAAGAGATGGTATCAGAAAATCTGGTGTCATCTCTTTCCAAACATCAATATTTTCAACTACTCTGGCCTTTCGAGCTAGTTGATAAGCCACACGATTTCCTGAACGTCTAACAGTAGACAAAGAATAAAAAATAAACAAATGAAGAAACCGCTGTACATCTGCAATAATAGCGCCAACGGGAGAAAATTCTTCAGAATTATCACCAATCCTCTTCATTATTGTGAGAGCATCCCCTTCCAAAACAATTTCATCACACCCCATTTGCCTAGCAAAAAGCATAGCTTCCCTTGCAGCCATAGTCTCTGCAGTTTGTGCTTCTGCTTTGCCGATTAATTTCTTAGACATCCCAGTAATAAACGACCTAGCTTCATCTCAAATCACCACCCCTACCCCAATAGCATCATCTTCGTCAAACACTACTCCATCAAAGTTAACCTTAAAAGATCCAGATCTAGGAGGAACCCAACGTTCTGGTGCACTTTCCTGGACAGCATTCTGACTAGAATCCAAGACCTACTCATACTGCAAAATAAACTCCATTGCCATATGACAATACACCACAGGGTCATTTTGCCTCTGCTGAAATAAAACCTCATTCCTGTTACGCCAAATATACCAACACAACACCAAAAATATTGTACCAAGTTTCGGCTTAAGCTGCAAAATAATTTCCCAAAACCAATCAACAAAGTTCTCATCCACTCGATTTATTAAATGACAAAAAGGACTCTCATTCCATACTTGTCTTGCCCAAGGACATTCGTTAATGATATGTAACATAGTTTCAACACCCTCCCCACATACACAACATACCCCATTTGGTCTAATTTTCCTATACCACAAATTTTCATTAGTAGGAAGAACATTCAAGGTCATCCTCCATGCAAAAATCTTTACTTTACTAAGAACATTTTGATTCCATAGAGCACCCCAATTACCCCTAGAATTTGATGACGAACCAGCACTTGTACAACCCGAATGGATTAAATTCTGCTCATATGCTAAATGGTACGCACTCCAGACTGAAAATTTGCCATTGGCATTATAATGCCAAATTAACTTATCTTCCATAGGCAACACACACAAAGGGATCCTTTTAATTACCTCTGCTTCATGCTCCAAAAAGACAGCATCAATCACAGGAATTTTTCAGCAATGTATAACTGGGTCAATAAGCTCACTAACTATAGCATCATCCTCCAAAAAATTCTTTGGACTAACCACACGGAAGGTAGATGGAGTAGAAATCCATCTATCTTTCCATATATGAATTTTAGACCCATCACCAATCCTCCAACGCGACCCGGCTTCAATGATCGTCCTTGATTCTAAAATACTCCTCCATGTATATGAAGGTTTGTATCCAATCTTGGCATCATAAAAGTCATCGATGGAAAATACCTCGCTTTTAAAACCTTGTGCAGAAGAGTATGCGTCTCATGGTGAATTCTCCAAGCCTGTTTTGCTAACATCGCCATATTAAAAGTCCTTAAATCTCGAAAGCCCATCCCACCAATATTCTTCCCTTTACACATGTCCGCCCATTTAACCCAATGAATCTTCCTCTCCCCCTCCTTTTGGCCCCACCAAAAAATTAGAAATCATAGACTCCAACTCGCTACAAAAATAGTCTGGAAGCTTAAAACATCTCATCGCGTATGTTGGAATTGATTGAGCAACTGCTTTTATTAGCACTTCTTTACCTCCCCTTGATAACAATTGTTCCTTCCACCCTTGTAGCTTTTTCCAAACTCTTTCCTTGATACCAGCAAAAACTTTCCTCTTCGATTTACCCACTATAGATGGCAGCCCAAGGTACTTCTCATGTTGTTGAACTCGAGGAACACCAAGAATAGCCTGTATTTCTTCCACTCTAATCTCTGGAACATTCTTACTACATATCAAAGCAGATTTTTCCATACTAATTTGTTGCCCCGAAGTCACTTCGTAAACTTGCAGTAATTCCTTCACAGCATTTGCCTCCAAACAAGTCGCCTTAAAAAATAACAGGCTGTCATTTGCAAAAAATAGATGAGAGATTCTGAGGCATCCTCTTCCAACAGTGACACCTGATATTAATCCTTGAGTTTCCACATCTTTAAGTAAAGCTAATAGTCCTTCTACACATATAAGAAAAAGATAAGGGGATAAAGGGTCTCCTTGTTAAATACAGGATGAAAATAACTCATTTGGTCATTATTCACAAGCACCGAGAATGAAACCGATTTAACACACTTCATAACCAATTGAACCCACACATTGCTAAACCCCAAAGCTCCCATCATTCTCTCCAAAAAAATCCACTCAACTCTATCATATGCTTTACTCATATCTAACTTGAAGGAAATGTGGCCCTCTTTTCCCTAAGATTTGCACTTAAGAAAATGATTTAGTTCAAAAGCCACAAGAACATTATTAGTAATTAGTCTTCCCAAAACAAAAGCGCTTTGATTTTCAGAAAGTATAAAAGGGAGTACAATTTTTAACCTATTTGCTAAGACTTTAGAAATAATTTTGTAGAGGACGTAGTCCCATTAATGAGGAGGGAGGGAGGTAGATTCATCTATAGTGATGTGAGATTAATTTAGAAAATTTGTATTTTTATTTTTAATTATTTTGTTTGGATCAAGATTCAATAAATAATATATTATTTTAATTTTTTTGTTGTCATACTATTACAAGGGGAGGGTCGCACCCTCACCTTAAGGTGCACAAGTAGAGTGGTTTACTAGTATGATGACCATTTCTTCAGGATTTCAATACTATTTTAGTTAGAATATTGAATCAATGTCTAACTTTTGGTTTCTTGGTTTTTGTAGATATATATTTTATTATTATTAATATGGTTGTAAGTTGGAAGGCCAAGAAGACTATCAATATTTTATCAACAATAATTTAGAGTTTTTTATTCTATTTTTCGTATAGATTCAAGGTTTGTTACATATTTTCTTGTGAATCCAAGATTGTGTTATTGATTTTTCATGATTTCTATGCGATTTGGCTTAGTGGGTAAATTTGTTTAGTTGTTATTTAAACGTCACATGTTTGAATTATACAAGCAACGTCTACCCGTGCAAAATAAAGCTACATACATTTGCTCTTTCTATACCCCAAAAAGACCCAAAGTGGCAAAAGTCTCGTGTCGTACCATGGGAAAGAAAAATATTGTTCATTGGGACAGCTAAACCTGGCTTACAAAAGTTGATTGAAGAGTTCTCTCTTCATAACCTTTCCTTAAAACTTACAAATGAAATGCTCAGACTGCCATTACCAGTACAAACACTAGTTGAACAATGATCACAATAAATTGCGTACTGAAAACTTGTAATGAAAATGATTGTTGGAAGCAGGAAAGCATTGTGCCACCCATTGCTATCTGGAAACTCATCACTTGGTGTAAAGAACATCTTCCCATGGATGACGGTATAGAGGTTGCTTCAATCTCTTTTGATCAAAGGTGTGGCTGAGATTTC